ATAAAAAGACTTTTTTAATGAGATCAAAACCATTTAATTATTACTGCAGGCAAAAGTTGCACAGTTAGCTCCAATGAATCGGCTGGAGCGTTGACGAATGACATTAACGTTACAAAGACCATTAGATTGGCATCCAGGGATGAGAAACGGTTTTTCATTCATAAGGAAGAGAACTTCGTCATTTCCGCCAGGACAACTAAAAATATGAAATTGTTTAAAAATATTTTCTAATTGAATATTTACAATTTTTTAATTAGATACTTGTAGCGAATAGCAGCAAGATTTGTTGCCATTGGTGTTATAAATGAACTTCTCCATTGTCGGTTTGCTTGAATATTGAAATTAGCAGCTGTTAGTGGAACATCACCATCAAACAATCCCAAAGTGACCATGAAAAGTTGGAAAGCTGTTGAATGTGTGCTGTAAATTCTGACATTCTCTGTCTGGTCGCTTGTGTCAAGGAATCCCAGAAGATCCTGAATCAAAAGACAATTCATATTTTCAAATAGTCTTCTTGGACCTCCATAGCCAGTATTGTAGAAATAATCCAAATCTTCAAAATATTCCAACATCAAATTGTTATGTGGTGAGAATAAACCACAGAATGGAGCTGGCGTTGTTGAACTCCACAACTGTTCGAAATTACAAATCTCCCAAAGTGTTCTTGTCTGTCGTGCAGTCAATCTTTCAGATCCAAGTAAACCTGCCTTGTCATTAACTTGATTCAACATTTCTTGGAATTCAGGCCCATTTTGCCACGCACTTCTTTGAACGGTATTACTGCTGACTGCATCGTACAATGGACAACCATCATGAGGTCTCAAGAGAAAATCAGGTTCGGGAATAGGTTCGACAAACACTTGCTGGAACCATTGGGACCAAAAAGTCCGTCAGCAAAGGCACGAACAGTTGCTTGAGTTCTCTGTCTGTCAGTATGTCTGAAAATGTATCGAGCACGATTGTAGGTCGTTGAGAGTAAAGTGGGAAAAGCTTGTTTCAACAAGCTTTAATTCAGATCAACACCTGGAGTTGTAAATCTTTCTGGAGCTGAACCTATGGGATTATTTGAAACAGCATGGGAAGAAAGATTTCCACTTGAAACTTGGAATAAACTTCAAAAACGCAAACTTAAACTTGCAGTGATCCATCCTGTAAGAAATTAGGTATTTGTATCTCAATTGTATGCTTGTTACAGAAATAAATAAATTAAAATACATCAAAAAAAAATTTCGGTTCGTACTTTTATTCTTATTTTGCGTTCAATAGTAATTGAAAAATTGTTACAGAAAAAATAATTCAACAAACAAATTCTTCTGATGCTAAAGAAAGCAAAATTTTATTAACTTTTTCTTTAAATCTATTCTACAGTCAATATATATNGTTACACGCGGAAGAATAGAATGCAAACAAAACTAAAGGAAATGGTTAAGTGATGGAGCCGATTGTAAAAAGGTAAGGAACAAATAAATAACCTTAATTTCATTGGTGGAAAGCCAATTTTACAAAACCCAAATTTATAAGTTTATTTTTTTGGGTTTTGAGAAACTAACTTTCCACCAATTTTTATTTGAATGAATTTTGAAAAGATTCTTTCTTTTGTTGTTACAACTTTTCATTATAAATTTCGCCAAAGCTTGCAGTAATTGTATATCCCCATCTCAGAATCTTTGAGGAATCGAAAAGAAATCGCTCGACTTTTATTTTTGTAAGTCTTTTTATAATTTTTTTCAATTCATTCCAAAAAAATTCTGCCAATAAAATTAAATCTAGGTTAGTTTATTATTGAATATTTTTTAACAAATCTCTTCTCACCTGATGTTTTTGCTTCATCATATATGCAGCAGACATTTCGTACTACTACTCTCCATCGAGCACCATCCTTTTCTATTTTTTAAATCTTGATTTGAGGTGATGATTATCAGGGACATTTGTGATTTACACAATTTGCCCGCATTCCCTCGATGGTTCATGTATATAGACAACTGGTTCCTTCCCTTTCACCAAAAGCTTTGTAAATCTTCAAAGCTAATGGTTATTTCTCCCATAACTATATTTGCGCATCCATCTGCTGACATTTTTCTGTTTAATCAAAATCTTTTTACTAATAGCTCGCGTGTCCTGATAAAATATCTGTAAAGCAATTTGATTTAATAAAGTGCAAACCGTTTTTCTGTTCTAATTGGAACTGAGAACTTAAATCGCTCTCCTATTTATTTCATTATTTTTTATGCTTCTTTTATAAACTTACTTTCGCTAAAGAGACCGAACGATCATTCATGTGATCTGTCACTTACCTATCTCTGTTCCATTATTATCTGACAATAGAAGAACCTACCTGGAATTACCTAATTATCTTCCTGAATTATTTTAATTTATCAGTTAGGCAAACAAATATTGAAATTTCTAATTATTTATTTTTTTCCTTAGGATACCATAGCAATGGGAAGAGAAAGAATACTCATTAACGGAAGGAGTTAGAAGATCTCAAGGAAAGCAGAAGGAAAAAAGATTTACTAGACAAATTGAGTAAGTTAAACTATTTCAAAAATGCATTTACATCATGTAAGAATATTTAATTCAGATCAACACCTGGAGTTGTAAATCTTTCTGGAGCTGAACCTATGGGATTATTTGAAACAGCATGGGAAGAAAGATTTCCACTTGAAACTTGGAATAAACTTCAAAAACGCAAACTTAAACTTGCAGTGATCCATCCTGTAAGAAATTAGGTATTTGTATCTCAATTGTATGCTTGTTACAGAAATAAATAAATTAAAATACATCAAAAAAAAATTTCGGTTCGTACTTTTATTCTTATTTTGCGTTCAATAGTAATTGAAAAATTGTTACAGAAAAAATAATTCAACAAACAAATTCTTCTGATGCTAAAGAAAGCAAAATTTTATTAACTTTTTCTTTAAATCTATTCTACAGTCAATATATATTTCTTTCTTTTATTTATTAATCCATTCTGCATCTGTTTCGTTAAATGAAATCACAATTAAAATATACTGGATTTGATTTATAGAACGCTCCTATGCTTTTGTTTTTCTTCTGCTTTTGTTTAATTCAAAGGAGATCTATTAAAAATGTTTAGTTCAATTGTTACATGTGTTTATTTGTCTTCTGTGCTTAACGCTATTTAAAGTAAAATCTTTTGAAAACATTTCTTTTCTATATAACATTTGTTTAAAGGTGCTTTTAACTTTTTTTTTAATTTCTTTTAGTACATAATTTCTTCTTCTTCACTGCACGCTTTTTCATGTCATATGAGATTAAAATTCGTGCTTTTCTGATATGACTACTTCTTTCACTAGGTAGTTCATTAATTTTATTATTTTGCTTTGCGTAATTTAGGCGAATCGCTGCGAAGTATCATATAAGAGAAGAAGAAATAATTGAAGAAATTTATTTTTTTATTTACTTTGATTAGATATTTAGTGAACTTTAATCATCTCCGGTTACGAGTACATGTTTTGTTTTGTTTTTTCATTCATGCTTGAGTTAACAAGTGAAATAACTCCATCAACTTTCATATTCCACATTACCAAAACCTCATTTATCCAACTTCATCATTCATAAATTTTTATCTTCTTTAAAATAATCAAAAAAAGAAACAAAATTGAAAAAAGAATTTAATTAAATAATTTTTTTAAATAGAATATAACAAGCAATGAAAAGCCTTCAACACGAATTAATAATTCAAAAATATAAAAAGAATAATCTATTTAAGAACATAAAGCTTAAAGCTGCTGCATTAATAAATGAATTTAACTCTTCTTTCATCAATTTACTTTTTGAAATAATACTCAATGATCAACATCATTGAAGAGGAAAAAATTTAGTCTTTCGAATATCTTTCAGCGTGGATTTTTTTCTTTGTTATAAATTTCTTATTAAACTTTTAAATTGTGATGTTTGTGATGTTTATGTGTTGCTAATCTGATGATGATGTTGCAAAAAGAAGAAAAAAAAATGAAAAAGAAAACCAACACAACATTAAACAATATTTTTAGGTGGTGATAATGATGAGATGGTTTTGACAGGAAAATCGACTTTATTCCTCATCTGTGTCACCATCAGATAAGTAGCCAGCCAATCCAATCCTTTGGGGACCACGAAATGGAGGTGAGATGACGTCTGTTTGTTTAATGTTGTGAATATTTTTTGGTTAATAAAACTTTTTTTACACATTCATTCATTTTTAAAATCAAAATAAGAAATGAGAAAAGAATTGTCAGGAAATGTTGCGACACTTACGCTATCCGCCGATAATGATTCAACCATTCTTCAAGCATTTGTGCAACAAGAAGTGGTCTTTTATGAAGCTTCTGTTGTGCAACCATCAATCCACCTTCAGTGAAACAAACATCCAACCAAGTTTTCATGATTGTTTCTTCATGACCCATCTGACGAGAGAGAAGGATTTAAATTGTTTATCGTCGCAATTCTTAACATTCAAAACTTACCTCTGACTGGGAAAGGAAATGTATTGGTATCAGCTTATTCTCGCAATCCATGAGCGGCAGGAATGTTACATCTTCTTCTTCCTCACGCGCTGAATCAAGCCTTTGATAAGGCTCCGAAGGAACTAAAGCACTAAAGTGACCTGTTTATATAAATTTCGATTAATTATTAATTATTCATATTTATGAGAACTTTTTCCTTAATTAATTCACCTCTTGTGTAACCTAAAGCAATTGGCGAACGAATGCAGAAGCTTTGCTCCCATAATAAAGGCAAATAGAGACCTAAAGTTCAAATTAAATTGAATCGCGCTTGTCAATTTACATCTCTATTAATAAAACAAAGAAAAAAGAAGAAACTCACCCTCAAATCTTGCATATCCAATGTCTTCTCCACGAAAGCTTTTAACATACTTCACACCATAAACGATGATTGGTCGTCGAAAGATGTGCGCTAATACAAAGATATGAAGTTGTTCGAGAGAAGCGCCAGGTTGACTGGCGAGGGATAAGAGTGTCGACCAACCTTCTTCCCATTGTGTTTCTTCAAGTGTAAAGTGAAGAAGTGCTGCTTGAATCATTTCATATTCCTTCCAACGCGGATAAAAAAGATTTCCACATTGATGTAAGCTGTCAGATAAGGCGCGTCTTAAGATATTATCACGATCGAAGACGCCCCATGTTGATTGCATACAAGAATCGAGCAGGCAATCCCCAGCACTTCGGTTCCATAGCACCATAAGACGTGAGCCTAAGCGAGAGGTGATTTCAAGCGACCAATTGAGAGCTGGCGGAGGATTTTCTAATTGCTTTTGAGCATCACGATCGAGAAGCTCTTCGTAAAGTTGCTCTTGGACTGTAAGCGGCAATTCTTCGATGTCGGCGGGCAGTGAAAATGTTGCATGTTCATTCACATAATTACAATTAAATGGAGCTTTCCTTATTCTAAGAATTTGTCCAAAATGACGACGAATATCGGTTGCAATATCTGGCGCAATATGTGATGGCACACATTTAATTCCTGATGGTCCATTTGATGAGATTTGTGCGAGAAGTCTCGGCAATAATTCATCACGATGAAATCGAATTGCAAGATGAATTAAAGTGTGCCCAATATCAAATGCAGATGGACGATTAAGAAGGATAACTTCGTTACTTGTAAGAGCTCGAGCGACGTTACCGCCACGTGCTAAATAATGTTCAACAGCTCCAAGATTATTCTCAACAACACCAATGCAAGCATTCAACCAACTCCAATCAGCTTGTCGTTTCAACTGTCGAATTCGCCTTTCTTGATGTGCTTCCAATTCATTGCTACTCAGCTGATATTTCCCACAATTATTGTTGTTATTATTACTGCTAGCGATTTCATAGTTGTTCGGTAGATTTTTCAAGTTGTTCTTTACAGTATAACTATCTTCACTTGCTGTAAGTGAATTAATCATGTTGAAGTTACTTGCACCTGATATGAGATCATCGAGATTCTCAATGTACTCATTTTCATTTGAAATAATCTTCTGACTATTTGTTGTGTCTCTTTTTGTAGCGCACATTGAGCATTTTATGCTTCGCGGATAATTTTCATATGTGCAGGCCTGGAAAAGAATTTAAATTTTTAATTAAATTGCTTTTCTGATGTTTCACATCGTTTCTTACCATGCATTGCCATTTGACTTCTGATTTCCGATTGTTGTGTTCTGGATCTTTTGTTAAATTACTTGATGAAGCTAGTGGACTGCTGGCTTTACATTTACTGCTGAGGTCGGGATCTGATGTACGTATTTCGAGTTTTTTCACTTCTTCCACAAGCGATGCTGTTGTAATTGTGTCACGTTTAGTGTTATTTCGAGGGCTATTGCACAATTTTCGTTGGCTTTCATCGCTGTTCATGGGAGATTCAGAAATTGTCTCTACTAACGGTGTGATTGCCGTTTGTGGTGTAGGACTTAAACTATCAAAAATAATTGAAAATCTAATCAATTATCTCCTAACATATCGAAGGAATTTTTCTGTGATTTTTTTTTCAGACAAACAAAAACTTTGAGCGAAGAGACGAAAAAAAAATTAGAAAGTCTCACCTAAAGATTTCAACTGCTGATTTTGGATACGAACACATCACACAACGTATCGACTTGTTATAGTTCAAGTAGGTACACTGATCGCACATCCATTTCGACTGTTTCTCATCATTTTCCATCGCGAACAAGGATTTAAAACGACCGAATAATTTTTTTTATTTATTTTTTCCCATCGAATTTTATTTGTTTCTTGGGAGAAATTGTGCAATGGTGTAACGCGAAAAACATTGAACATATGGTAGCTTACCCCCGAAGTTTAAGTTTAAATTTACCGTTAAGATTTTAGCAAAGAATTGATGCAGAAAGTTAAGTTTTTGTATGTGTGCGTGAATCTAAGTCTAAAGTCGAGATGAAGTTTTGTTTATAAAAATTATTACCTAATTTTAATGGAAATTTAAATTTAAATGAATGATTGAAAGAACAAAAGATTGAAGAAAGTGTTTGTAGGTCAATTTTCTTTTTATTTTTCAATAGCATAGGAAAATATTCAAGTTATTTGAACAAACTTGCAATTCTTTAGATTAAAGTTTATTCTTATTTTTTTGACTGAAAGTTTAATAAAGATTGCCGCATATAAACGTTAACTAAAATGCTAGTCAAACTTCTTACTGCTAGAGCTAAAAGAGCTTTACAAGATTCATTGACATTTGCATTACCGAAAGTAAAAGTTAAAGTCAATCAAGGAATTGTTCGCGGATGCATTGAAAAATTACCGAACGGTAAACCATTTCAAAGATTCCTTGGCATTCCATACGCAAGACCACCGATCAATGAATTAAGATTCAGATCACCACAAAAGTTGTTAAAATTTGATCAGGAAGAAATCGATTGCACAAGAGAAGGAGACGCAAGTTTCCACCGAAGTGGATTTCATCAAAAATATGTTGGATCGGAAGATTGCTTGAATTTGAATGTTTATGTTCCACCTACTGCTAGCCCATCAAATAAACTTCCTGTCATGTTGTTCATTCATGGTGGAGGATTTGCTTTTGACAGCAACAGTCGAGATTTGTAAGATTTCTTTCCGTTTTAAATTAAATTTAAATTTTCTGACGGTAAAAATTTCTTCTTCAGTTATTCACCGGAGTACCTTTTAATGGAAGATGTCGTAGTGGTCACCATTAATTATCGTTTACAAGCACTAGGATTTCTATGTCTTCCAAATAAAGGAATTCCTGGCAATGCAGCATTAAAAGATCAACAAATGGCACTTGAATGGGTTTACGAAAATATTTCAAACTTCCACGGCGATCCCGAAAATATTTGTTTGTTTGGAGAGTCAGCTGCTGCTTCTGGGATTCATCTTCATCTCATGAATTCAAAATCGAAGAAATTCATCAAAAGTGCCATTATGCAAAGTAATTGTGCACTTGCCGATTGGTTCATGCAAAAAGATGGAGAAGAAAAATCAAGAAAGCTTGCAAAGCTTTTAGGTGCGACTGGAAGTTCAGACGATGACTGCCTAGATGCTCTTATGATGGCTTCTGCTCGAGAGATTTATGATAACAATGGAAAAGTTATTAATCCCGATGAGATCAGAAGGAATTTGCCATTCGTATTTAAACCTGTTGTCGAACGAGAAGATTCAGAAGATCCTTTCATGACTGAAGATCCATTAACACAATTAAAGACGAAGCAAATTGATGTTCCAATCATCCTCGGAATGAATGATGGTGATGGAATGACGATGGGGAATTATTATCGAAACAAAAAGTTGCATTTGTTCGAAGAAGATAATGTCAGGATGGTTCCATTGTCGTTAAACATCGATCCAATGTCAGATGAAGCGAAAAAGCTTGGAAAAGAAATTAAAGAATTTTATTTCGGTGACAAACGAATTGGACCTGAAACACTTCGTGAATTTATTGACTTTATGACTGATTATCACTTTTCAATTTCTTATATAATGTCAGGTGAACTTCATGCAATTTACCACCCAAATTGTAGTCAATACATTTTTGAATTCTGTTTTGATGGCAAACTTAACATGTTCAAAAGGTTGTTAAAGATGGAAGAATTCAAAGGTGCTTGTCATTTTGATGAACTTTTCTATCTTTTTGATTCAAAATTTGTTGGAATGAAAGTCCCAAGAAACTCAATTGAATGGAAAATGCGTGAAACGATGTGCAAAATGTGGACAAACTTCGCTAAATATGGCAATCCAACACCCGATCATAACAATCCACTGCCAATCAAATGGAATTCAACTGCTCATATTACTCATCACACAGGAAAAATTGATTTGGATTATCTTAGAATTGACAAAGTATCGGAGATGAAAACAAATATAAACGAAACTCGAGTTGATTTCTGGCGTAAAATTTATGAAAGATACAATGGAAGTTTTCTCAATCCCAAGTTTTAAGCATTCAAATGAAATTAAGTCAAATTTATATCGATATTTACAAATATTTTGGTTTAGGATTTGATATTGAGAAAAGCAATAAAAATTGTTTTTTATTTACTAAAGACTGGTCAAAGTTTTTAATACCTAATTTAATAATAATTTCCAAGTCAAGTTATCTCAAAAATCTTTTCTTTACTCACATAACAAATATTTACGCACACATATAAATAAATCAAATAAATATTTACAAAGCTTACAACATTTTTTCATACTACGATTTCATTTTAATCAGATGTTTTATTGTTGTTCAAAGTTCAAAATGTTCTGACTTGAAGTTTTCTTTAAGTAATTAAGGAAATGGATTCTATTCGAGTTAAAGTTAGTCAAGGAGTTGTGCGTGGGTGTAGAGAAGAATTGCCAAATGGCAAATCATTTCTAAGGTTTTCTGGAATTCCTTATGCAAAGCCGCCGATAAATGAGTTGAGATTTAAATTAAATCACCACAAAAATTATTAAAGTTCCCTCAACATGAAATTGACTGCACAAAAGATCGTGACGCATGTTTTCATCGCAGCATTTTTCAGCAAGAATATGTTGGATCGGAAGATTGTCTTTATTTGAATGTTTATGTTCCACCAAGTGCAAATGAGAATAGAAAACTTCCAGTGATGATTTACATTCACGGTGGTGGCTTCAACCTTGACAGTTCATCAATTGAATGGTAAGAAATTAATATTAAATGTCTGGAATAAAATCTGTAAATTGTTAAAAAAATTTTAGGTATTCACCAGAAAATCTCTTGATGGAAGACGTGATTGTCGTCACTTTAAACTATCGGCTTCATGTTTTAGGCTTCTTGAGCTTACCAAGTATGGGAATTCCTGGCAATGCAGGTTTGAAAGATCAACAGATGGCAATTGAGTGGGTTCATGAGAACATTAACAACTTCAATGGTGATGCAAACAACATTTGCTTGTTTGGTGAATCAGCTGGTGGTGCAAGTGTTCACATGCAAGTTCTCAATCCAAAATCGAGATCTTTGATTAAAAGTGCGATTTGTCAGAGTGGCTGTGCTCTTGGTGATTGGGCTTTACAGCGAGATGCTGTTGGATTATCGAGAAGACTTGCAAAATTTCTTGGATGTGAAAGTGACGATGATAATGAAATTTATCAAACTTTAATGAAAGCATCAGCTTCTGACTTGTTTCGATTGAGAACAAAACCACAAGATCGTGACGAAGCAAGAAGAAATTTAAATTTTGCTTTCAAACCTTGCATTGAACCTGAATCAGAAGACGCTTTCATGTCGAAGCATCCACTTGAGTTAATTAAAGTTCAAGAAAATCAAATTAACATTCCAATAATGTTCGGAACGACTGATAAAGATGGACTTGTGATGGTCGCTTATTACAAATATATGACGCAATTATTTAATCGTGATTATGTTAAATTAGTTCCAAGATCATTGAATATCAATCCCAATTCCCTTTCGGCTGTTCAACTTGGTGAAGAAATTAAAAGATTCTACTTTAAGGATGCAGCGATATGCGACGAGACGATTCCACAATTCATCGATCACATGACTGACTTTCATTTCTTGACTCCACAAACAATCGCAAACGAAGCTCATGCAAGATTTCAACGAAATGGAAAACAATTTTTGTATGAATTTCAGTTTGACGGTGAACTAAATCATTACAAGAAACTTCTTCAAATGGATGATATTCCTGGTGCTGGTCATGCTGATGAAATTTGTTATCTTTTCAAGTAACTCTCATGACATTCCAACTTTTTTATATCGTTAATTCATCAAACATTTCTTCTAGCCAAAGAAGCTTTCAAACAAAAATCGATCTCAATTCAAGAACGGGAAGAATGCGCAAAAACTTATGCAAACTTTGGTCAAATTTTGCTAAATATGGCGATCCAACACCAGATCACGACAATCCACTACCAATAAAATGGGATCATGTGAAGCCATTAATTAAAGATGAATTGAAAGTCGATTTAGATTACTTGATGATCAATGATGAATTCAAAATGGTTAAAAATATTAATAATCATCGAATGGAGTTCTGGCGACGAATTTATGAGAAATTCAACACGAGTTTTATTGTGTCAAAGCTTTAAATGATTTCAAATTTGTCAAAAGTGAATTTTCAATGAAAATTTGATTTAATAATAAAACTGAAATATGGAATTCGAGTTAAACTTTTTCATTTCTGTTTTGAGGGTCGGAAATTTAAAGAATTATTTATTACTTTAACTTTTAATTGGCTAAGAAACATGTTGCGATTGAAAACAGATCTATCAACATCTGTGTAAAAAGTTGTGTTTGATGCATGTAAATTAAACTTCCTTGTTTGAGAACTGATATGTACCACTTGTGCTTACATGAGTAATTCAAATTACAATTAGGGGTTCCCCCCAACCTTAAGTTTTCATTACAATGCAATGATGAAGATCGATACGGTCGAAAACAGTTGAAGACTGTTACAACTATAATTGTTATCGATATATGATTAATAACAATTTTTCATTCTTTTTAACACCATCTTCATTAACTGAAAGGATCCGAAACAGACAAGATTGATGCTTCTGTTTTTAGATAATTCTACATGTGCTTAAGTTCAAACGAACCTCATGCAAGTAACAAACAGATGATTATTTTGTACTGCCTTATAAAATTTATTTTAGTGACGTGTTTTATTGTTCATTTCGAAAACCAGACACGTATAACAGAAAAGGATTTTTCTACTAATGTCTGAGAAGAAATCATTAAAAATTTGAATGATTAAAATGTCGCTGCAGTTAATCAACTTAATTGTTGATTTATATTTTCAGTATTTGTGTCACGTAACATTTTCTTATTTCAAGAATGATACCACTTGTTTAATCAAAAGGCAAAAGCCTTCTTATTCGTCTTATTTAATAATTTCTTTGATACATTCAATTGTTCATGCCAAATAAATGACAAGCACACACTTAAACTTTACTAATGATAAGATCATGAGCGACAAACTTTAAAAATAAGTTTTTTTATGGAAATAAGTTGAGCAGATATCATAATTCAGACAAAATTATATGTCAATTCATGTCAGTAATTTAGTGACGACGAAGTACAAAAACCAATTGAACACGTTTGAAAAACGATCAATTTTCTGATTCCTTTTCATTAGGTATTTAAATAAAAGAAAAAATTATGAAACATGTCAAATTATTATCTGAAAAACAAAATCAATTATGAGAATTTTCTAGATTTGTAGCATTTTCACTTTATTACATAAACTGAAATCATTTTACAGGTCATTGGGATGATTCTATTTCATCTTTCTATTTTGGTTTTTTTGATTGTATGATGTCGTTCCATCCATTTAAAACACTGTTGAACGCGTTGACTAAACTTGTATCACCTTGACCAAGGCAAAGTGCATCTCCTTCTCTGTCAATAAATCCGTAGAATAAGTCGTAATAGTCATCGAAACTTGCTCCAACGAGATTTGCAAGAGAAGCAATAGCAGTGTCCGTGTACGAATAATAAGTAACCATGCAATTACTTGTCGTGTAGAATTCACCATTAAAATCGTCAAATTCGTCTCCGTTTGCAAATGACACAGCACTTAGTTCATTACTGCATTGAGCATTGAGATTTGCCAGTTTTTGAGCCGCCTCTTGCCAAATAGACGCTGCAGCCGCTACTACTGAAGCACATGGGTCTTCCGGCACAGGAACGCACACCTTCATTGCATCTAAGTGAAGATAGAAAAATTATTTCTATATTTAAATTTAAATAAAATAAAATTCTTCTCACCAACAGCAATGACAATTGTGAGAAGAACAAAAGTTAAAGTTTTCATCGCGTAGTTTATTTAGTTCTTCCAAAAATACTGAAACTGAAATTTTCTAGCAAAAACTCATCCTTTTATATGAAAAAAATTGAGCTTTAAATGGAACTTTGACGAGCTTTCAAAAGTTCTCTGGGAAATTATAACAAAAAATAAAAGCTCAAATTTAAGTTTCTTTCAAATTCACTTCTTTACTATTGTCGAGTCCTTCTGGTCCCAAAACCTTTTGAGATTATGTTAAGTGCGTGAGTATATTTAACGTAATTAGGTACGACTTTATTTAATATAATATTAGGAGATCAGACTTCTTGTATTTATGAATCTTTATTTCAGATTTGTACCAAAATGCACATAATATGGTAGTTGAACACGTAATTATTCATAAGGGATGAAATTAGTTTCCAATGTGAGAATTTTACTGACAAGTTAAAGTCAAATTTTCACGCGTAAATTATTGTAAAAAAACAGTAACAGATTTCAATCACATATATATAAATATGCTAGAGAAACATTCGTTCTACTTGTGCTTAGATGTCTTCAACACATTATTGGTAACTTTTTTAATTAATATGTATTGATGAAACAAGATATCGATAGAAATTGTTAAATTTTTGCCTTTTCTTTTGATCAAAAGAATGAGATGATTTAAAGTTATTGTTCATTCTTGCTTTCCTTCATTTACCTATATAAAATTTTTTTTTTTGACTTGTAGATTTTGAAAACAAGTCATTCATAAAACATAAGAAATTTTTAAGATTTTGTCTTCTTCACATTTGATTTCATTATTTTTCAACTCTTTTTATAAAATGATAGAAGGAGTTATGGCATGGTAATTTTTTTCATTTCAAGTCTAATACCACTTGTATAATAAAAACAGTTCAATATGATTCACACGTCTTATTTAAGTTCTTAGATACATTGAATTGTTCAAGACAAATAAATGACATGCATACACTTACTACTGATAAGATGAGCGACAAACTTTAAAAATAAGTTATTTAATGCAAATAAGTTAAGCAGATATCATAACTCTAACATCATTGTATGTCAAGTCATGTCAGCAATTTAGTAACGACGAAGTAGCAAAAAAAATGAACCGTTAATAAAACCATCAATTTTAAGATTCCTTTTCATTATTACAATATTTAAATAAAAGAAACATTATGAAACATGTCTAATTATTATCTGAAAAAATCAATTATGAATTTTTTTTAGTTTTGTAGCATTTTCACTTTATTAGATAAACTGATTACTCTTTTTGCTTGAATAATGTTGTCCCATCCACCTGCAACATTGGTGAACGCGTTGAGTAAACTTTCATCACCTTCAGCAAGACAAACTGCATCTCCTACTCTATCAGAGTTTTGGCAGATAAACTTATAATAGTTATCATAATTTGCTCCAATGATATTTGCAAGAGAAGCAATAAAATCTTCCTGGTACGACAAATGAGAAGTCGTGCAATTATTTGTCATGTAGAATTCTCTACTGAATGCATCAAATTCCTCTTCGTCTGCAAATGACACAGCACTTAGTTCATTACTGCAATCAGTATTGAGACTTGCCAGCATTTGAGCCGCCTCTTTCCAAATAGGCGCTGCAGCTAATATTACTGGTACGCACGGGTCTGGATGCGGCACAGGAACGCACACCTTCCTTGCATCTAAGTGAAGATAGAAAAATTACATTCTTAATTTATATTTTTAATAAAACAAAATTTTTCTCACCAACAGCAATGACAATTGCGACAAGAACAAAAGTTGAAGTTTTCATCGTGTAGTTCTTCCAAAACAACTTAAACTGAGACTTTTCTATCAAAAAGTCATCCTTTTATATGCATAAAACTGAGCTTTAAATGGAATGTTGATGAACTTTTTAAAAGTTCTCTGAGAAATTATAACAAAAAAAATAAATGAAAGCTCAACTTGAGAAATAAAGGAAACCTAATAACTGTTTAATGTATGAAGCAGTTGACTCTTAGTATAAAGTAGGCAAATGATGAACTTGAATGCTTATTTTGTTTTATTAAAAATTCAAAAGGTTTTTAATACCATTTGGTGAATCAGCTGGTGGTGCAAGTGTTCATATGCAAGTTCTCAATCCATGCTCATGGTGATTGCGCTTTACATCGAGATTCTGTCGGAGTATCAAGAAGACTTGCAAAGTTTCTGGATGTGAAAGTGACGACGATAATGAAAATTATCAAACTTTAATAAAAGGGTTGGAAATTTGAAGAATTATTTATTATTTTAACTTTTATTTAGCTAAGAAACATGTTGCGAATAAATAACCAAACTATCAACATCTGTGTAACCAAATGACGACAATACAATATCAACTGAAAAATTTGCAATTTTTGTGTTTTATGTGAGTTAGACTTCCCTGTTCGAGAACTGACACCACTTGTGCTTACTCGGGTCTAAAGATGAACATCATCAACAGATGAAGAAATTTTCAAGTATTTTTCCGAAAATATGCATGAGTAGTTCGAATTACGATTACGTGAACTCCAAACTTAAGTATGACGAATTAATTCATTCAAAATACGTCGAAAAAGTTTCATTATAACATTGATGAAGATCGAATTAAAGTTATGGGTTATTCGGTCGAAGACCGTTACAATTATTAGTTACTTCCTTCTCTTCATCATTGCAGATTTTTAACAGCAGCTTTTCATGCAAAGATGGTTCTTCATTAACTGAAAGGATCCAAAACAGACAAGATTGATGCTTCGGTTTTTAGATAATTCTACATGCGCTTAAATTCAAACGTTCCTCATGCAATAATAAAAAACAGATGATTATTTTGCAGTATACATATAAAATTTATTTCAGTGACGTGTTTTATTGTTCTTTTCGAAAACCAGACATGTGAAAGAAAAGGATTTTTTAATAATGTCTGAGAAGAAATCATTAAAAATTTGAATGATTAAAATGTCGCTGCAGTTAATCAACTAAATTGTTGATTTATATTTTCAGTATTTGTGTTTCACGTAACATTTTCTTAATTAAAACACTGAACACGAATACCGAACACTTTTTTAACTTATTAGTTTAACTTAAGTTAGTGATACTTATTACGTGTTTCAAAACAATTAAAGTATAACATTTTCTTATTTCAAGAATGATACCACTTGTTTAATCAAAAGACTTGAAAGCCTTCTTATACGTCTTATTTAAAGTTCTTTAATACATTCAATTGTTCATGCTAAATAAATGACAAGCACACACTTAAATTTTACTACTGATAAGATCATGAGGCACAAATTTTGTATAAACTTCGTGAAAATAAGTTATTTAATGTCAATAAGTTAAACAAATATCTATTATTCAGACATCACTATTTACCAACTCATGTCACTAATTTAGTGACGACGAAGTACCAAAAAAAAATTGAACACGTTAAAAAAGATGATCAATTTTCTGATTCCTTTTCAATATTCAAATAAAATATGAAACATGTGTGCGTTCCTGTGCCGGATGAAGACCCATGTGATGCATTAGTAGCAACTGCAATGTTTTTTTATTCAGATTCTGTCGACATGCTGATAGTCCTCAGTGCACAATGCAAAAATGAACTAAATGCTTTGTCATTTGCAAACGAAGAGGAATTTGATGCATTTAACGCTGAGTTCTACACTACAGGACATTGCATTAAAGAGTGAAATTAGTTTCCAAATGTTAGAATCTTACTGACAAGTTAAAGTCAAATTTTCATGCGTAAATTATTGTAAAAAAAGTAACAGACATCAAAAACATTTTATGTAAATATAGTAGACAAACATTCGTTCTATTTGTGCTTACGAGTCTTCAACACATTATTTGTAAGTTTTTAATATTATGTATTAATGTAAAAGATCGATAGAAATTGTTAAATTTATGAAACTTTAGGAAAAGTTATGAAATTCTGTAATTTTTCTTACTAAATGAATTACATCAATATTCAAGGGGGCAATTTGCTTCGTTGGTCTAAGTGACTAAACCACGGTTTTGTATCGAACGCGTTGCCAACNTTTATATAAAAAAATTGAGCTTTGAATGGAATGTTGATGAACTTTTTAAAAGTTCTCTGAGAAATTATAACAAAAAAAATAAATGAAAGCTCAACTTGAGAAATAAAGGAAACCTAATAACTGTTTAATGTATGAAGCAGTTGACTCTTAGTATAAAGTAGGCAAATGATGAACTTGAATGCTTATTTTGTTTTATTAAAAATTCAAAAGGTTTTTAATACCATTTGGTGAATCAGCTGGTGGTGCAAGTGTTCATATGCAAGTTCTCAATCCATGCTCATGGTGATTGCGCTTTACATCGAGATTCTGTCGGAGTATCAAGAAGACTTGCAAAGTTTCTGGATGTGAAAGTGACGACGATAATGAAAATTATCAAACTTTAATAAAAGGGTTGGAAATTTGAAGAATTATTTATTATTTTAACTTTTATTTAGCTAAGAAACATGTTGCGAATAAATAACCAAACTATCAACATCTGTGTAACCAAATGACGACAATACAATATCAACTGAAAAATTTGCAATTTTTGTGTTTTATGTGAGTTAGACTTCCCTGTTCGAGAACTGACACCACTTGTGCTTACTCGGGTCTAAAGATGAACATCATCAACAGATGAAGAAATTTTCAAGTATTTTTCCGAAAATATGCATGAGTAGTTCGAATTACGATTACGTGAACTCCAAACTTAAGTATGACGAATTAATTCATTCAAAATACGTCGAAAAAGTTTCATTATAACATTGATGAAGATCGAATTAAAGTTATGGGTTATTCGGTCGAAGACCGTTACAATTATTAGTTACTTCCTTCTCTTCATCATTGCAGATTTTTAACAGCAGCTTTTCATGCAAAGATGGTTCTTCATAAACTGAAAGGATCCAAAACAGACAAGATTGATGCTTCGGTTTTTAGATAATTCTACACGCGCTTAAATTCAAACGAAACTCATGCAAATAACAAACAGATGACAAATGATGTATACATAAGTATAAAAGAAAAAGAATTTTTAATATTTTGTCTTCTTTACATTTGATTTTTCAACTATCTTTATAAAATGGTTCGAGATGTTATGGCATGGCGTACGCACTGATGTCTGAAAAGAAATCGTTAAAAATTTGAATGATTAAAATGTCATAATAGATAATCAACTAAATTGTTAATTTATATTTTCTACGTATGTGTTCAAGAAGGACTGATGCCATCTGTATAATAAAAAGACTTGAAGAGCCTTCATACGTCTTATTTAAGTTCTTTGATACATTCAATTGCTCATGTCAAATAAATAACAAGCACACACTTAAACTTTACTAATGATAAGTTCATGAGCGAATTTTATATAAGCTTCGTGAAAATAAGTTATTTAATGCAAACTAGGTTGAGCAAATATCTATTCAAACATGATTATATGTCAATCGATGTCAGTAATTTAGTGACGACGAAGTACCAAAAAAATTGAACCGTTAATAAAATGATCAATTTTAAGATTCCTTTTCATTATTACATTATTTAAATAAAAAATGAAACAATCAATTATGAGATTTTTTTTGTTTTGTAGCATTTTCACTTTATTAAATAAATAAAATCATTCTACAGGTCATTGCAATGGGATGATTCAATTTCATCTTTTTATGCTGGCCTTTTTGATTGAATGATGTTGTTCCATCCATCTGCAACATTGGTGAATGCGATGAGTAAACTTTCATCACCTTCAGCAAGGCAAATTGCATCTCCTACTCTGTCAGACTGGTGGTTGATGTACTTAGAATAATCTTCAACACTTGCTCCAACGATACTTGCANTTACTAAATATATATTAATGTAACATGCATGGCTTGCTTTTTCAGCTCGATAAAAGAAAGACTCTTGTCTCACATACAAGAAATGAATTTTGTTATGTGGCATTTTCACTTTATTACATAAACTGAAATCATTCTACAGGTCATGGGGATGTTCAATTCGTCTTTCTATGCTGGTTTTTTTTAATTGAATGATGTTGTTCCATCCATCTGCAACATTGGTGAACGCGGTGAATGTACTTGTATCACCTTCAGCAAGGCAAATTGCATCTCCTACTCTGTCAGACTGGTGGGTGATGTACTTAGAATAATCTTCAACACTTGCTCCAACGATACTTGCAAGAGAAGCAATAAGATCTTCCTGATATGAAAATTGAGAAGTCATGCAATGATGACTAGTGTGGAATTCAGCATTAAATGTATCAAATTCCTCTCCGTTTGCAAATGACAAAGCACTTAGTTCATTACTGCAATCAGTATTGAGACTTGCCAGCATTTGAGCCACCTCTTTCCAAGTGGGCATTGCAGCCACTACTATTGCAGCACATGGGTCTTGATCCGGCACAGGAACGCACACCTTTCTTGCATCTAAGTAAAGATAGAAAATTAAATTCTATATTTGAACTTTAAATCAAACAAAATTCTTCCCACCAACAGCAATGACAATTGCGACAAGTACAAAAGTTAAAGTTTTCATCGTGTAGTTTATTGAGTTCTCCAAAAAAAAAATTGAACTGAAACTTTTCTATCAAAAAGTCATCCCTTTATATAAAAAAATTGAGCTTTGAATGGAATGTTGATGAACTTTTTAAAAGTTCTCTGAGAAATTATAACAAAAAAAAATAAATGAAAGCTCAACTTGAGAAATAATGGAAACCTAATGACTGTTTAATGTATGAAGCAGTTGATTCTTACGTATAAAGTAGGCAAATGTTTAACTTGAATGCTTATTTTATTTTATTAAACTTAAATTTTATTGAACTTATTCAGTGCATGATTTTTCTGAATTTTTCTATCTGAATTCTATTTCCTTATTTATTTTCCCTTGGAAACTTTTTTGGTCTATATAATTGAATGAGAACTTTTGTCGTTCATCAGCTATTGTGAATCATCAGATTTCAATTTAAAAAGCTTCGACCATTCATAAACATTCTAAGAATTGGAATGAAAATGAAAGAATTTTGAAAGAGTTTTCATGTGTCTCTGAATGGAATTCTAGTGACGAATTTATTGATATTGAAATTAAATTTCTATTTATTTCTTTATAATTTACACGATTAATGAAATCAAAGCTTTGCTTGTATGAATTCTTTGTTCCACTTTCTGTAAGCTTTTTTCCAGAATTCCATGCTTTCCTTATGTGGATTTTCAACCATCATCATCTCATCATCGATGATTAAATGATTTAAAGAAATGTCCTGAGTTTTATTTGTGATTGGTGCAATGGAAGTCCATTTAAAAGGCAGTGGATTGTTATAGTCTGGTGTTGGGTCGTCATATTTAGCGAAATTCGTCCACAACTTGCACATCGTTTCACGCATTTTCCATTCACGTGAATCTTTTTCCAAGTTAACACGATCAACCAATTCACCACCAAAGAGATGAAAAACATCGTCAGCATGTCCAGCAAATGGCAAATGATCCAACCGCATTTGTTTCTTCTGTAAATTAAGTCTCCCATCGAATCGAAACTCGAATAAGAATTGCTTAACTTCTGGTTGATATCGAGCATAAAGCTCGCTTGTTCTCATGATCGCAAATCTGTAATCGACATCCGTTCGAAGTCTCACAAGATCTTTAAGAGTTTCAATTGACAAATCCTTTCCATTGAGGTAAAATTGTTTAATTTCTTTAGCAAAAGCTTTCATTTCATTGTCAGATAAATTTCCTATTTTTCTTGGTACAAAGAGATAAGGCAATTTATTCATTAAGTCGAGTTTATTACGAGACAAAACTTTGGCTATTGAAGGCATTCCATCTCCATTTAAGGTACCGAACATCATTGGAATATTTATTTGGCCAGTTTGATCGATAATTGAATCAGTTGCAGATTTTGTTATCATTGCTTCATCCGACTCTGGTTCAATGACCGTTCTCCAAATGTATCTGACCCCCTGATCTTCTTCTTGCTCTGATAAAACTTTATCACTGTTTTCATACAAGTCTTTCGCTGATGCTGCCATTAAAGTATCGAAAACATCATCATATGATTCACTTTTACATCCAAGAACTTTTGCAAGTTTTATCGAAGTTTCTTCTTTCAGTCCCTGATAATTCCAATCATTCATTGCAGTTCCACTTTGACAGATTGCATTGTTAATAAATTTCCTTGATTTGGGATTTAAAATGTGGAAATCAACGCAAGCTGCACCTGAAGATTCGCCAAACAAACAAATCTTCTTTGGATCGCCATTGAAACTTGAAATATTTTCATAAACCCACTCCAAGGCCATTTGCTGATCTTTCATACCTGCATTGCCAGGAATTCCCTTACTCGGCATGTAAAGAAATCCCAAGACATGAAGACGATAATTCATCGTGACAATTATCACATTTTCCATCACGAGAAACTCGGGTGAATATCTTGAAAAGTACAAAGTTCTCTAATAAATCTTAAATTAAGATAAAAACTGATAAAGTACTCACAATTGCCTTGAATTTGAATCATATTTCAAGCCTCCACCGTGAATGTAAACCATGACAGCGAATTTTTCAGAAGATTTTCGATTTTCGGGTACATAAACATTTAAGTTTAAGCAATCTTCCGATCCAACATGCTTCTTTGTTATTGTTGACCTGTGGAAGCAAGCGTCACGTTCCTTCGTACAATCGATTTCGTCTTCTTCGAATTTCAACAACTTTTGTGGTGACTTGAATCTCAACTCATTAATCGGTGGTTTCGCGTAAGGAATTCCAGAAAATCTAAGAAATGATTTGCCATTTGGCAATTCTTCTCTACACCCACGCACAACTCCCTGACTCAATTTTATTTTTGTTGAAGTCATAGCGATGTGTTTGTATCAACGAAACAAACGAAACTGATAACATAAATTCTTACCTCACTACTCAAGAGAGTCGCAGTTTGTTACTTAATGTCAATAACGCGTCGACAAAATAAATTCAGCGTTATCAAAATATTTTTTTAAATTCGTTTATTTCTTTCTTTTTAATTTTTATTACTAAATCTGAGCGTTCATGTAATCTTTGTTCCATTTTCTATAAAGTTTCCTCCAAAAGTCCATTCGCGATTTATTGAGATTTCGAGACATTTTCATGTTGTCATTGATGACGAGATAACTGAAGTCAACTTCATTTTTATCGATGGGAGTCCATTTAAATGGCAAAGGATTATTGTGATCTGGTGTGGGGTCATTAAACTTGGCAAAATTTGTCCACAACTTGCACATCAATTGTCGCATTTTCGACTCACGTGAAATTTCGTCAAGTTCAATTTTGTCGGCTAATGAACCACCAAAAAGATAAAAAATATCGTCAGCATGTCCAGCAACTGGTAGATGACCCCAATTCATTCCTTTCTTTTGTAAATTTAATTTCCCGTCAAATTGAAATTCATAAAGAAATTGTTTCAATCCTGGCTGGTAACGAACGTTCAAATCATTTGCGATTGTTTGTGCAAACAAATAATCGACGTCAGTTCGAAGTCTTACGAAATCTTCAACATTTTCCATCGACAAATCATTGTCGTTCAAATAAAATTTCTTGATTTGTTGTGCAACTTTTTCAGCTTCTTCGCGAGATTCAATTTCCAGTGATCTCGGAATGATCGAAATGAAATTTTCATTAACAAATTTCAGTTTATTTCTTGAGATAATACTTGCAACGACAATTATTCCATCGCCATTGTTAGTTCCGAAGATGATGGGAAAGTTGATTTCTCCTGCTTGTTTCATCAAGGATTTTATTGACGATTCAGTTATGAAAGCATCGTCTGATTCTTCTTCTATCACCATTCGCCATTTGTTTCGAATCCAAACGTTTCGATCTTCTGTCGTCAGAACTTTATCACAATTATCGTACAAATCTTTCGTTGATGCTTTCATCAATGTTTCATAAACATCATCAATTTTATTACTTTTGCAGCCGAGAATAGAATTCTCGCTAAACTTCGAACAGTTTCTTCATTTTGTCCATAAAACGCCCAATCGTTTATCGCAGTTCCACTTTGACAAATTGCATTGTTAATGAACTTTCTTGATTTTGGATTCAGAACATGAAGATGAACACTTCCAGCTCCTCCAGACTCTCCAAATAAACAAATCTTCTGAGGATCTCCATTGAAAATTGAAATGTTTTCATGAATCCATTCTAAAGCCATTTGTTGATCCTTCAACCCTGCATTGCCGGGAATTCCCTTTTTTGGCAGCCACATGAATCCTAAGGCTTGAAGACGGTAATTAACTGTCACAACAATGACATTTTCCATCAGTAAATATTCTGGAGAGTATCTAAAATGTTAAAAATCATTAAAAGTTTTCCATTTTCGATTAGAACTTACAAATCTTTGGAGTTTGAGTCGTATTTGTATCCACCACCGTGAATGTAAACCATGACAGCGAGTTGTTCATTTGAATCTGTCTGTTCGGGTACATAAATATTAAGATTCAAACAATCTTCCGATCCCACATATTCCTTCTTTAATGTGCATTTGTGGAAGCAAGCGTCACGTTCTTTGGTGCAATCGATTTCGTCTTCTTCGAATTTCAACAACTTTTGTGGTGACTTAAATCTTAATTCATTGATCGGTGGTTTTGCATAAGGAATTCCAGAAAACCTAAGAAATGATTTGCCATTTGGCAATTCTTCTCTACACCCACGCACAACTCCTTGACTAACTGTGACAGTTTTCATTTCATGAAAAAATGATTTTGTTATGTTCCATAATTGTCTATGATGACGAAAAATCATTTCCTTGATTAAAGTTGCAGAAAAGTTAAGCTTTCAATTATTTTCAATAATCTTAAGAATTCCTCATTTAACAATTAAATATTTTCTTTGAAAATAAATGTAATTACATCACACACAGAATTTAAAAAGTATTTTCGAAATTGATTCACAACATAAATATTTTGGCGACCTTGGCAGATCATCTGATTTTATTTACAAACATTTCAAGCGTCGTTGTTCAGTGGAGTAGAATTTTTTTTGTATTTTTTCTTTCAGTTAAAGTTTCTAATGATCGGTTTGAGATTATCGCAGATAACATTGCTAATAATATTTTATGAGAAACACCCAAACAAAGGCATCAATTGTGAAAAATGACTGCCAGTTAATTCGCAAAAACTTATCAACGCTTGTTGCAAGTGAATATCCAACAAAAAAAAACTACCTACCTACTATTGCATAATTCCAAGCGAGTTAGGATTCAATTCTTTATCTCTATCAGCAATTTGAATAAAGAGAAAAAAAAATTTGATTGAGTATTTTTAATATATTTTTTATCTGAATTAGGCTTTTGCTTGGTTCAAGATTAACTTCATCAGATAGTGGTGGTAAATTGTTATCAATTGAACTTCATAATAAAGTAAAGAAATAATTTAAATTCACGTGAATTTTTAAACATGCTTCAGATTTTCCTTTTTTTTAACAGAGTTCTTAATTAATTTCATCATAAAAAATGTCATCATTTATTACAGAGTAAAGCAAGTAATGAAATATTTTAATTTATTTAAAAAGCTCTACCCAACTTTTTAACATTTGGGTTGCAACCCAACCGGTTGGTGTGATTTTACACAAATTTAACGGTTATGTAGGGAAGATCAAGTTTAGCATCCTTTAAATTAACGCCCAATCGGTTTGATAAGAACTTCGCATCCTGAAATTAGCCATTTTGAAATACTTATATTCTAAACTCGGTTCTTTTCATTCACTTTGATTTTCCTTTCACATAATAATGAATCTAAACTGTAAATTTTGTTATGATCGCGCCGGCCATGTGAATAGACCTGATTACATCTGCTTAATTGATTCATCTTCAAAGACGGAGATTTTGGAGCCCAACGTGATGATTCGAAAAATTAATGGAGATCATTTAGATGGAAAAAGTGACAAAGACGTCGAAGTGATTTGGTTTAAGCACGCAAAGGTCAACTACTTCCCTCATGGACTGAACGAAATTTTTCCTAATTTGAAAATTGTGAGAATTCAAGAATGTGGATTGAAATCATTAACACGAAAGGATTTGGTTGGACTAGAAAATACTGAGTCACTGTGGTGTGATGCCAACAACATCACTTCACTTCCAAACGATATGTTCCACAATATGAGCAAACTTATTTATATTGCATTCCAATTCAATGATTTACAGTTCATCTCTTCAGAACTTTTAACGCCAATATTCGAAAATGACTTACAAGTTGTGGATTTTAGTGGAAATCATTCCATTGATGCTTTCTATATTGCTGACTCATGTAATTATAGGCAATTATTTTGTGAAAATGAAGCTGATTCTGTAGCAGAGTTGATGGCCATGATTGATGAGCAATGTGATAAGCCAATAAACGATGAGCAAACGATCTCAAAAACAAAATTAAAAGTTTTGAAAACTGAGGAGTTCAAGGAGCTTTGGACGACTGGTTGTTTCTCGGATATCACGATTGTCACTGATACCAAGAAATTCAAAGCACATAAAGTTGTTCTAGCTGTTCAGAGTTCAATTTTGAAAAATGAGATGAAAAATCGACCATCTAATGCAATTCAAATGAAAAACGTAAATTCAGACATCGTGAAGGTTTTTCTGGAATTTCTCTACACCGATGAGGTAAAAAAAGAAGAAGTTTCAAATTTGCTGCAACTTTTCGCTCTCGCAACAAAGTATAAAGTCGAGAATTTGACGTCACTTGCTGAAAATATGATCGTGGATGATCTAAACGACGACAACGCCATTGAAATATTCGAACTTGCGTGTCGTTTCAATTCAAGTAGGATGAAAACTTCAGCATTTGAAGCCATTCAGTCGATAATTGATGAACCAGTAAAAGAAGAACTGATAAATCAACCAAAAGTTCTCAAAAAACTTGTTAAGGCCAAAAGAAACTTTGATTCCATGGTTAATAAATACAAGAAACATTAAATTCATTTTCCCTTCTTCAACCTGAATTAAATTCATTCCTACAAGGGCTTTGTTAATTTGATGAATAAATGAGATAAATAAAAGGAAATTTTCACTTTTTGAATCATAAAAAATGTCTTAAAATAAAACAGAAAATTTTAATTAAGTTAAGAAATATATTTAGATTTTTATTTGAGAGGCATTAATTTTATGTTTTAAACTTAATGACTTTTGGGGTTTATCAAACGATTGAACTGAGATTTTCAAATCTTCATCAAAACTGTTTGTAGGTAGGTAATTTTTTATATTATTATAGTCTTAAATGTTTATGCCAGCAACATTTTTTCAATGTCGATTCCGCTTTTAAACGCCTTTTGATGTTGTTATTTCGTGTTTCCTAAAAAATATTTCAAGCGTCGTCAAATGCAATAAATTTTTTATTTGATTTTCCTTTCCTTGAAGTAATCCCGTAACATGATTTAAGTAGATATTAGAATTTCATTCTATTGATTCGTAATTTTCATAGATCATATTAAAATATTAATTTTTATTAAAGAGTTGGTTAAATATTCTTCGATATTTTAAAAATATTTTTATAAATTTATTTAACAGAGTAAAAAGTATTACACGTATAGATTTATTACAGAAATATATTTTTATGAACATTTCCACAAGACAATTGCAAGATTTCCTCCGAAGAAAAGATACAAAATATTTTTGGTTTCATAAGACACTTCGAAGCCAAAACCTTCGCCCACACAAGCGTGCCAATATGTTCCAAACTTCTTATCCATAGCTTCTTTTATTGTTTTAGCGGCAAGTTCATAGTTTTGAGCATATTTCTCACAGGCTGTTGTAATCATATCGATAGCTTCGTTCTTCATTTCTTCCTGCATATCGGAATGCTAAAGAAAGAAAAGTTTTAGATTGGAAGGAGAATTTTATGGATGAATTAACGTTGTTTATTTGTTGCTGGCATGGAGACACAAACTCATTGTGATCAATTTTCTGAATTCAAGAACTTTTATGAATCAATAAAATCTTGAGAAAGACATCGCGAAATAAACGCGAGAATGTAATTTATAAACGACAACATTTGATAAATTGATTGAATGTGTTGAAAGGAAGCTATAAATCCGCTTACATGAGTCGTGCGATTGGAAATCGAATATAACATTTACACATGCAATCCGACGTCTCACAATTTTCCCTTTCCTATTATGTTGTGTGTCTCTTGCAATATTATTTTCCATTCGTCACACGAAATAATAATTTCGAAAATGGTTCGATGGGAAAATAAAACAAAAAACATGATTTAAGTAACTCACTTTGACGAGCGGATACACGTGAATAATTTTCTTGTCACCTTCACCACCTTCCTTTGGTTGATCATCCATTTCAATTTATTATCAATTAATAATAATTATTTCAATGTTAACTGAAAACTTATTTATTTGCACATTGAAATGCATTCGTTTCGATTGTTGCTTATTAAATGAAAATACAATTTAAACAGCACACTTTGATTCATCATTTTGCGCTTGCGTTAAGTTTACATTTCATTCTCACCCTTCGTATTGCTTTAGCTAATATCATCAAAATTTGTGCGAATTTCAAAGTCTCCGTTTCAGGGTAGAAAATGTTTGCAGAATATCGACGACATTGTTCAATTTACATACATATAGTTTATGTCTGTAACAAAAGGGGAAGCTAGAAGATATTTCTGAGAATATTCTTTTTCATGAGACACTCGACTATGAAGGTGTGGGTGGAAGTTCAAAAATGAAAAATATCAAACGATTTTTCTGACAATTAATAAACATTTTAGTCATGTAGATAAATATTTGCTGAAACCATTTTTAGAAATGCTGCTTTGAGGAATTTATTTAACGAACTCTGACGACCAAAATTTTTAATAAGGAAATCAGTTTTTTATTTTTCTAATTTTATTTGAAAGTAATCTTAAAACTCTTATTGACATTTTAAAAAAAGAGAAGAAAAATGAATTTAAGCGAAGACGTCTTCACGATCAGCGCCTGATCCACCTTCACCAGCATCTTCCAAGTTTGAGAAAAGTAAGAAATGTGCTGGTCGATGAACTTCGTGATAAAATTCCTTGGGATTCGACAGCATCAACTCATATTTCATGTTGGGATCGTGTCGTACGCCCATAAAGTTATAATTCCAACTGCCTTGTGTCGGCACCATGAAGAATCCAAGGAATTTATTCGACAATAACATTTGAACACGTTCATAGTGACTGGGCAAGTAACCTTTTGGATTATTCCCTTTGTCAGTGTTCTTATGTCCCCATTCAAAGCCTGATGGTGTCAATTTATAAGCCGTCAACGAACATGATCCAGGAGTAAAAGAACATGTGATGATTATCGTCTTCTCTCCATCCCATGTCGGATTCTCTGACATAACTTTCGCATGTGTGGTGATATCTTGTGGCGATAATTGCGGCAATTCATTCGGTTGTGTATGAATCCATCCAAGTGGTTCCATATCCTTCAGATATTGATGATTAGGAAGTGAATTGGGCAGATTGATGACTTGATGTGTTCCCCATTGTGGTGGCATCACAATGCACCGAATTTCCTTCACTTGTGGATTATCAGCTGGACTTACGCCGTATAAATAACCAGCAATTTGTGCACGTAAATCAGAAATTGTCACAAACTTCTTCAATATGTTTTTGGGAAGAATGTAAGTGTAACCAGTCTCTTTAATGTCATCAGAACTCACGTAAATGTGATTTGTTCGTAAATGTAAATTTGTAGCTGAAATTGCTCGAACTCGCCACTCAGTCTTCGAGCTGAAGCTTGTCGTTTCGTAATTTGATGTTGTTGATGTGATAATTTCATCCCCATGTTTGTTGGTTGTTCTTGTCGTTGTTGCCGTCAATTGTGATTGTTCCTTTGTTTGTTTCTCAATTTCAGCAATTTGTTGTCGTTGTGCTGATGGTGCTGAAATTTCCATACCAAGAATGATATCACGAATTTCTGATTGTGTCAATGAAGCGACATTCACGTTATTCTTCTTTCCGTAATCAGCCAGAATCAAATCTTTCAATTGAACTTCAACTTTAATCCATTCTTCATCAGCTAACGTAGGCCAAATGTGATGAGCTTCAGTAATTGTCGTCTTATCGGGTTTTAAAATAACTTTTGTTCTTTCAGTGTTGACATGAAGTGCACGAAGAATTAAAATAAGACGAGAGAATGCTGTGTAAGATGAGATTGTCTTCAACCAATCGTCGTACAAATTAAAGAGAACCATTTGCGGTTCTGTCGCTTTCAAAATCAAATCACCAAACTTCTCAACTTTCAAGCATGCCTGGAACGGTAACTGAAGTTCCGATCCTTTAATGACGATGTTAGGAAAGTCAAGTAAATGAACTTCAAGTGGATCCAACATTCCTTTACGTGTCACAATAATTTGTTTAGGTTGTTCTTCAACTGGCAATGAACGAATCAAAGCAGCAACTTCTTCAGCTGTTTTCCATTTTGCAAGCTGTCCGAGACGTTTCTGACCTGCCCATACTGACGTGTGAATAATCTTCAAGAAAAGTTGTCCCGTTCTTGGATTGAAGATGAAAATTGCGCCATTAATCGGCTTCGTTGTTAAATTTCCTTCAAATGTTTTGTGAATTGTGACACGATAAACATTTGTGTCGTCAACAAACCAAATAATTTGATTGCTGAACAATTCACCATAATTTTGCGATGACAAATACGGTTCGGTTGGTTCTGAACTGTACAACTGAAGAGCTTTTCTTATTCGTTCTCTCAACACATACAAAGCAGGATTTGCTTTCATTATCTTCGCCATTGCTTGTTGAATCAAAGGCTTACATCCTGGGAACCAATTGCCAAAAGCACTGTGAAGATTATAAGCTAAATCAATAGCAATTAAAACGCCAGTTGGTGATGGATAAATCGACATGTTGTCAGTCGTGTAATCGAGAAACTTTGCACGTGCGTAGCGTTCAACGTCATGTGAATCGTAATCACCCCAACGAAGCTGCACATCAAGCCAATATTTCTGTGTTGTTGTGTTGTCCATTGTATCTTTCGAGTCAGCGAGTAACGACGGTCTTGAAACATTCCATTTGTAAGCTGGGAAGAGAAGAATGTCAGCACATGATGAATTCATCTTGTATGACTTTCTCGGATGAATTGTCTCCTTTTGAACAGTTTCAATCTCAAGTGCATCAAGTTCTTGATCAAACACTTGACACAAATCCATCACAATCGATTCGTGAATCTTTTGCCATAAATGAGCCCGAAAGATTTGAATTAAAGAAATTTTCAACGTTGGAATCTTTCCATGCATGAAAATTCCTGTCAAATCAAGTTGCACTTGAAAACCAACATAAACATTTGCACGATTAATTGTTGGCGACCACCACAAAGTGAATCGACGATTGGGAATTTGATTTAAACCTGAACGTTGCGCATTTGTGAGTTTCTTGTACTTCATCGACTCTTCGAAGCCAGAAGCTTTCTCCCAGAACAAACCTTCCCATGTTGGGAAATAAGTTCCTTTAAACAAAGTATGCTCAAGAATTCCTTCAACGCCACCAAGTGCTTGAATCATATCTGTGCGATAATTATTTAAATTCCAAAGTTTTCCATCGTGTCTTTGATGTGTCCACCAGAATGGATTTTGTTTCAAAACTTGATATTGTTTGAACTAAAGAAATTAATTAAATGTTAGTTTTAAGAAATTAATAAAAAGATTTTCGGGAAATTCACCTCAGTTCGAATACGCCAACCTTTATCATAAGCTAATGTGTGACGATCTTTCTGGAAAAGTGTGTTAATACGAGGAATTCCACGATCCCAACTATCTTCTAAATCCTCCAATGTTAATCTACGACTTTGAGCATTTGCTTCTTGTCTTTTCAAAGCATATTCAGCCCAGACACGTTGCGAATCAATAAATTCACTTTCCCATGGTTGAATGTAACGATACAAGTTGGGAATTAATTGATCTTCGTCATGTGACATTCCTGTGAAAAGAAAAAGAGAAGAAAATTAGTTAAATGCAGCATCAAATGAAACCAGATGTCAATTTACCGGATCGGAAGTGAGTGATGCCTGTGTCAGTTTGTTTAGACCATCGTAAGTCACTTTGCGGAATTAAAACATGTCCCATTGACAACATTCCCAATCCACCTAATTCTTTTGGTGTGTAGAACACAACCGGAGGGAATCTCGAAGGCATTTTCGAGTTGAGACCAATCTTGATACGTGTTTGGATTTTATTCTCACATTTCACGAGTAAATCGAGAAGTTCTTGTGTATTGACAACAGATTCACGGAAATAAGTCATTAGACCAATCAGTGCAGTGTTCCATTTGTTGACAATCTTAGTAAATGTCGTCGAACCAGAAGCCATCAAAATTTGTCTTACTCGATTATGAAATCTGTTCAATGATTCGTCATCAACACGCAAGAAACATTGAGCAGTTCTTTCCTTCGTCACTTCATTCTGTAAATTCCAAACACCATCACGATGTGTAAACTCGTCATGTTGTGTGCGACATTTCGGAAGAATTCTGCATTCAAATCCACTCATGTTGAACAATAAGTTTGGATTGTCTTTGGAATAAACTGACACAAAAGTGTTGTCCCAATTTACTGTTGTTACTGATCGTGGTAAACGATTCTTTATGTCCCAGAATACAGCTCGACCTCTGGGAAAGAGAAAAGTTAAATTATCAACTTGAATTTGGAATCAAATAAGAAAATAAACTCACAAATTGACATCGTGCTTCATCAAGCGCATTCGTGCATCACGCGGCCAACATTTTTTATTGTTATAACCGACAATATTCTCATTGTTTGGATCAGGATGTTCTGTTAAATATCTTTGAATTAAATCTCTAGCTTCATCTGCAGAGAATCTGTCAATGGAAAAGGAAGAATAAAGAAATTAATGAAATTAATTTACATGCGACGTGATTGACGTTATTACGCCATCAGTTTCGTCTAACGTTGTGTTATGTTAACTTTAATCTTACCTGAAGAAAATGTGAATTCGATCGACATAACGACAATACAATCGAATTGGATGTGAAATTTCTGACGGAATATCTTGAAAAGTGAGGAAATCATTGGGCATTTGTGGCGGTCCAGCCATTTCGCTAGCTCTTTGTAAGCCAAGGACAAGAAGATCTAGCACAAGTCCATAATATTGCGTGATGAAAGATGCAAATTGAAGACCACGAATGATTCCATAACTGTTTGTATGATTCATATCCTTGTAATTGATGACAACATTATTCTTAGCTGTCATGTAATCAGCAATGTTGTGATCAACAATCAAACGAAGTAAACGATTCAACAATGTCAAGTCGATCTTTTCATAGAGTTTCTCGAACTTTGATTCCAACAAAACGTTGCACTCTCCTTCAGAAACTTCCCAAACATCTTGAAGATTGTTGACACCTAAAGAAAACAAAAATCTTTTAAACGATTTTGATATTTATAAGTTGAAACTAAAATTATTTTAAAAATGTTTTCATTCGTCGATTAAAGTCACCGTCAGAGTGAGGTTGAAACAAGGGATTAGTTTAGAATTTTAAAATCCACATGCCACAAATCTCACACTCACAGTGCTTACAAAGATATTATTCCAAAGACATTATTTATTCTAGCTTAGAAAAGTGAAAGATTTCTAAGTTGGAATTTGACAAGATGAAAATTTTACATGAGAATTGTAAAGTTAAGGAAATGTTGTCTCACCTTGACACCATTTGTAGGCAAGTAACGGTGGTGGTTCAGTGTCACTTGGCTTAATCCATGGTGGAAATAATCGTCGTTTGTCAGCTTCATACCACAAATATTGATCTAAATAAGCGTCTGTAATCTTCTCCAAAGGCTCAACATCATAAACCGGAATCAGATGACTGTACAAATCCATAAATTCAATGCCAGTCTCCTTAAATGCTCGCTGTGTCAATAAATGACGTTTAATTCGTGACAATGCTTCATGTGGATTATCATAAGCTTGTTCAATCAGGCCCAATTCTTCACGTTGACTCTGATTCAATCGTGATTTGACACTGTAAGCTTCCTTCAATCGTTCCAATGCAAGAATCAACAATTTTGTGTCGTGCTTGTAAGACAATGGTGGAAAAGGGATTGGAGCAAATCGTCGCGATTCCAACCAATGAACTGTTGTCGTGTAGATAGCAACAGCTTCTTCCGGTGAAATGTAAGGTCCGTCTTTAAGATAATTATGTTGTCTCTCTTGTTCAGCTTTCAAATACAAACGAGTTAATCTTCCCAAGTTCTTCTTGCAAACTGTTTTATCAACAGTTGCACCTCGTCGAATTCTTTCACGATTGTAATGTGCTGTGTTCGTCCACCAATCAGCTTTCATCTTCACGTAGCGTAAAATCATATTCTCAATTGGAATTGGTAAGCCGGGAACTTTCCATGGAATATTTGCTTTCCAACAACGCCAAGCTTCAGATAAATGTTGAAGAATTGTTCGAGCTTTGTTTTGTTTAATTCCTTCGGGCATCATGTCGACAATGTCATGCATAACTGAAGCTCTCAATTCAAGATCAAAATGAGATTCGACGCGTTGTTTTGTGACAGTTTTAGCGACGCCTTTGCTATGACGACCTTCAAATTGACGTGACAAAAGATTTCCAAGCCATCTTTCAAGCAGCGGCGTGATTCCACGCATGAAAAACAACCAGACTCGCCATCCCGGTGCCCAAAAGCCACAACCAGGACCTTTTCCAACTGGACCAGTATTAAATCGATAATAAATCAAATGTTTGAGATCCTTGCACATTCTGATTTGTCTCATGAGTTTATATTTATAACGATACATTCCAGTTAATTGTCCAACATGTGCAAAGATGTATTGAAGACCATCAGCCAATTGAAATGCATCAACATTATTCAAACGATATTGAACATGTGAATCGATGATTAATTTTGTTAAACGAAGAATTTCACGACACAAATGAAAAGCTAAAGAAGATTAAAGAAAAGTTTTTCATTTTAAATTATTTACAATAAACATCAACAACTCACCATTTCCAAAACGTGATTTCTTTCTCTCCTTCGTTGTTAAAGTCTTGACAGGTTTCAAGTTGAAATTGTAATCAAGATGAAGATAATTTAAATTCTTACGATGAATAAGTAAATTAAGCATGTTGTAACCTTGTCGACAGACTTGCAAACCAGCTTCAACCCAATCAAGAGTCGTTGCTTGGAAGAACTTTGTTGCCTTAAATGATCTGAACAGATATCTTTTCTTTTGTGGTTTCGGTCGTCGATGTTTCAAAGCATTCAGAACGTAATATTTCAAAAGCTTTTGATAACTGACACGAACTTTCACTGGATGACCTGGTGGGCAATGCTCCTTGTACCAGCCTTTAACTAATGGAATGTCATGAGCACGACGACATCGACCTGATCTTAAATTGAATGGTCGCGGTGCCCATAAAAGTGCAATTCCATTTGCTGTATTATCCGAATAGAGCGGCGTGTCTTGCAAGAATGGCTGAACATCATCAGGAAGAATAAATTCTTCTTCATCATCTGGCAATGGATCGACCGACTTGACACCATGACGATGTGCAATAGGATTGATTAAAGGATCGAAATAAAATGCTGGTAAGTCAGGATCTTCTGTTTTGATGTAAACAACATTTGGTGTGTGATACCTGAGATAGTAAGAAATAAAATTGATCAGAAAAACAATTTAAATTATTTAATTATTTTGTATGTGAATCTCAGCGCCTGAAAACCATTTTTAAGGTAATCAGAAAATGGTAATTCACACGATTATCGAACTTTTAGGAAGGATTTACGTCGCGTTTTTGTAGTTTTGCTTCTTAATCAAATCAATCTATCACTAAATGGAGTGACAAGCTTAAGCTTTAAATACTTGTCGGAGGTTTATTTTAGTGAATATTTAAATTGATTTTTGTTTCATAAGTCAACTTACCATGAAAGATGAACAAAGAGTGGCATGTTGTTGTATAAATACGGAAAAGCAATCCGATATTCAGTCCTGACAGGTTGTCTGATAATAATTTTGTTAATATCATTAAACTCATTCCAATCTTCATCTCCCAAGTTGTGATCCTTGATGAGTGGTTCAAATTTAGGTCCGCCGGGAATTGCCATGTTGAGAGCTTTTGCTGTGAAGAAACTCTTCGGATCAAATAGATAAAAGAAGTTGTCATCAACCAGATCAGTCAACAATTGATTAGCTAAGCGATAAAGTGTTGCCATTTGTGGAAGTGTCAAATTCCATTTGCGGAATGTTGATCCATTGATGTATCTAAGAAAAAAAATAAGAAATTTGAACATAAATTTATTAACATAAAGTGAAGTAATAAAATGAAATCTTACGGAGTTCCAATCAAATTTTTTTGTTCATAAAACCAGTCATAAATACTTGAATCTTCTTCAGAATCTAAATCAATTTGGATTGCTTCTAATGGTTCAACATCAAGAACATTATCAGCGTAATCAAGCGGAGGTTCTTCATCGTCAAATGGTGGGAATCTCATTCGCTTGAAATGACGACGATCTCTCTTCTCACGTCGCATCATAATCCACATTGTTCCCCATTGTGCAATATAAACTGGCTCAATCACCCAAGGAATCTCATTGACAAATGTTATAGCGCCTGTAATGTGATAGAGAACTGGAACATCTCGAATTTGCTCCCATGGCATTGGCATGTTCTCGAGAAGTTTCATAACAGCATGCGGCATATACTTTAAAGCACCCAAATAAACTCTTTTATCATGTCGGTACTTTCTGCTTGTCATATCTCCATGATCTCTGATAATTTTACGAACATGTTCAGCCGGCATTGCTTCCTTTTGAGCTGTAAGTAAATTAAAAATATTAGGTAGTTGAAAAGTTAAAACATGAAATGAAATATTTACCATCAACAAATCCATATTTTCGCTTTTCAGCAAATCTTTTCGTTTGAAGTTGTTGCCATTTTTGTGACTTTTCAAATAGTTTTTCTTCATTGATGATTTCCGGCTTTTGGGGTGGTGGAGCGCCAAAGTTTCCCATTCCTTGTACCGGTGGTATTTGAATCTGAGTTGCAGCTAATTGTTGAGCGTGCATTTGTTGTGCCATCATTGCTTGTTGTTGAGCAAGATATTGTTGAGCTGCCCAGGGATTAGCTGATGGCGGCATCCCATGTGGGAGCATGTAAGGATTCATCCTTAATTATACTGAAAATAAATATTTTCGTTGAGGTTAATTAATGATTTAATAATAATTCCATTAATTCAAGTTTCATTTCGTGGAAAAATGGATAATTTATAAATGAATAAACTTTTTCATGATAGATTAAAACATTTAACTTGAAAACGTTTCAAATCATAGACAATTTTTTTTTCAAAAATTTTAATCGACTAAAACTTGAATACTTCATCATATTTTATACCAGTTTAATATTTAACTTACAGGTTTTGTTATTATTAATCAATTGATTTAAGTTTTGATGCTTGAAAGTTATTATTACAGTTGAAATTAAGAAATGAAGTCTGCTTATTATTTTCCGCTTGTGTTTTCTTTTCCTTTTGCGTCTTTCAATGTAAAAATGCAGAAAATTGATGCAAACTCTTTGCCACGGCTCAAAAGATGCAAAAATAAAGAAAATTTTGATAAAAACAATTTTCTGTAAAATTTATAAAAATGTTTAAAAAATTAAAAGATAAAATAGCTGAAGAGGTGAAACAATCACCAGCAAGATTCCAAGAAATCATAAATTCTGCTCAAGTATGTTTGAAGTTACAGATTGTTAAGAAAATTAATAATTAAGGGAGTGGAACTAAAAAAAAAAACAAATTGAATTAGTCAATGTCAATAAACTTTTACAATCTGTTTGTTTATTTAGACAATATTTTAAGGTGAAGACTTTGTTTCAAATTATTCCATTTACACTTACAGGCAGCTGTTAGCTCAGCTAATTCGAGTAATTCAGACGAAAGTGGAAGTGCGAATCAAAGCAATGAAAACTCGTCATCAGCAAATGAAAATTTTTTCTCACTCACGGAAGATGACACACCTCAGAACAGTCCCATGAAAACAATTCCTTTGAATAGTTCTTCCACACCAAGTAGCAGCAAATTAATGAATGTTGATCTTCACACGCCATCAACACAAAATAATTCGCTGAATAACGGGACACAACAAAGAACCAGAAAACTTTCAAATTCATCTATGGCCAGTGACATTTCGTTTAGACTTCCGCACTATGAACATCAACCAGTAAGCTTAATTTATTTTATCATTGTTTATAAAATTCTTTTATAAAATTAATTTTTCTAGATTTATCATTTACAATCAGATTGGGAATCGGCAAGTGAAGCTGAAGATTCGGGAGTGTCGTCAGTTGGAGCTCAATTGGAACAAATAAGTAAAGATCAAATATATCAAGCATATCGAAATTCCCTCACAAAATATCAAAAATATCGTGGAAAGTATACAGAGCTTGCGAGAAAGTATCGCGATTTGGAGAAGGACAATGCAAAAGCAAGACAAGTATTAGTAGAGACACAAGATAAAGCATTAAGAAGAATAAGTGAGCTTAGAGAGCAATGTCAATTAGAACAGCAAGCAAAAGCTCATCTTGAAAGTGCGTTGAGACTTGAAATGGACGATCTGCAGTGCGTCGTTCAAACACTTCGAACTAAACTTGAATTGATTGGCGAAAATCCTGACAAAGTTCTCAATGGTTCATCATCGAAAGAAGAAAGTCTTATCAATTTCTCTAGTGATGGTGGCGAAACAACAAACACAACAAATGAACTCATCAGCAATCTTGAGCAGGAACTTAAAGATTATAAAGAAAAGTATAATGAAATGTCGCAACAAAACGAAAAAGCAGTCACAGAATTGTCAGAACTTCTTGAAAAATCAAAGAAAGAAATCCAAGAATTAAAACAACGTGAAGAAGAAAGCACAATTACAATTGCTGAGAATAAATTGATGATTCATTCAGAACTGGAAAACAAAGAATCGGAAGTGAAGAAGTTACGTGAAAAAATCAATAAGATGGAAAGCAATGAAAGTGCAATAAATCAAGAATTAAAAGAAGTTAAAGAAAAACTAAATAAGCAAACACATGACTTAGACATGGTGCAGAAAGACAAAATAAAGCTTGAAGATCGCCTTAAAGAAGTCTTTGAAGAGAAGAAAACCGTCAATAACGAACTCAAAGAAATGAAAGATAAGATTGAAAAAGTAAATAATAAGTTCAAAGAGCTTTCTGAAGACAAAACATCATTACAATCGCAAAATGAACTACTTCATGTTGAAATTAAAAAATGTAAAGATGAAATGAATGAATTACAACGACAGAAATCTTTGTTAACGGAAGAAATTAAAAATATTAAAATTGTTAATGAAAATTCGGAATCGGAGGCAATTATATCACTCCAAGAGTCGATGAAAGGTTCAGTGATGGAGCTTGAGAAGAAGATTAGTGATTTGAATGGAATAATTAATGAGAAGACCTCGGAAATCACTTCACTTACTAAAACAAATAGCGAGATGTTGAAAAAAGTTAGTGAATTGGAGAAGGAAACAGTTTTAATGACCAACGATCGTGACACTTGCCGAACGAAAATCGATTCATTGAAGAATGAAAAACGAGATTACGAGAAAACATTGGAACGAGAAATTCGAGAGAAAAATGAATTGAAGACACAAGTAACAAATATTCTTCAAGAAATTGGACGCTTAGAAGAACAACTGAAAGAAGTTCGAACATCACATTCGTCAATTCAGTCTGAGAAACAAAAACTTGAAGAAAAGATTGAAAGGATTCAACGACAGCATAATGAAGCAAAAATGAAATTAGAAAAAGATCAGACACACAAATGGCAAACAAAAATGAAAGAACTTGAAACGAAATTGCATGAAATTGAATGTGAAAATTCACAATTAGCAGAGAAAAATTGTTTACTGGAAGAAAGTTCGAGGAGAAATTCTGATGAGCTTAAAAGGCTACAATCAAACCTCACTGACAGTCAGAGTGTTGTTCAAGAAGAGCACAATCGGTTAGTGGAAACATCAAGAGAACTTGAAGAAAGAATCAAAACGTTAACTGATCAGCTAACGCAATGCACTGGTGATCATGCAAAACTTTATGATGAGAAAGAACAACTCGATCATCAATATCGTTCACTACAAGATGACAATGAAACTAAGGAAAAGGAGAAATTATGTTTGATGGAAGATGTTAAAACTTTACAACAAGAATCGAACTCATTGAAAGCTAAAATTACGCAACTGGAAAGTGAAAAAGTGAACTTAACTGAATGTTGTGACAATTTAAGAGTTGTCGTTGATAACATAAAAAAAGAGAATGAAGCAATGATTAAAACTCGCGATGAACTGCAAAAAGCTTGTGAAAATATGAAAGTTGAATTTGATAAGATTAACGGATTGAAGCAACGTTGCGAGGAACAAATGGAAAGTGTTAAGCGAGATAATAAAAATCTAGCTGAGAAAAATAAATCTTTGTCGAATGAACTCGAATCGATAAGCACGAAGAATCAAAATCGCTTGACAGAACTTGAAAATTTATTGAAACAAACACACGACGAGAAACAATCATTGACAGAGTCGTTGAATAAGAACGCAACGGACATTGAAAAGAAAATGGAAAATTATGAGGAAATTAAGATTCAAAATGAATATTTGAGCACGCTTGTGAAGCAACTTGAAGCTGATATGAGTAAATCTCAAGAAGAAAAAATTGGCATGAATGAGAAAATTGCTAAAAATCTTGAGAACGAAATGATCCGTGAAGAAAAGATTCAAGAACTTTCAAGATTACTGGATGAGCGAGAAGAAGCTGTGAGGACTTTACAGGAACTTGAAACTGCAGTGTCAATTACCAACAAGGAACTTGAGTCACTTAACAAGGATCTTCTGACAAAGATTAACAAACTTGAAGCTCAAATTAACAAGCAACGTGATTATCAACAAATTAAGGATGAAAATTCAACACTGAAAATTCAGAAAAATGAATTAGCAGAGAAACTTCAAGTCATTAGCAAAGAAAAGGAAAATTTATTGACTTCTATGAAGAGCCTTGAAGAAAAACATGAAACTGAATTGAAAACCTTAAATGATCAAAGAGAAAGTTTCGTTGCTGAAAAAGTTAACCAGGAAACAGAATCAATTAATAAAATAAAGAATTTAGAAGATCAGTTGAAGAACGTCAGTGATTATGAAGAAATTAAGCATCGTAATGAACTTCTTCAACAAGATATTATAAAATTGAACGAAAAACTATCAAACAATGAATCAGTAAAGGATTCAGAAATTAATTCGATTAAGAAATCACTACAGGATATCACGAAAGAAGTTGAAATACTTAAAGAAGACAAAGTGCGATTAGAAAAAGAGATTGAGAGTAGTCGAAGTATTATTCAAGACTTGAATAAAGATTTTGAAGAATATCAGAAGGAAATTGAGACTTTGAAGGAAGATAAAGCAACTTTGATTACCGAAGTTGAGAATGCTAATTTGAAAGTTGCTTCGGAAAGTGAATTAAAGTCATCGAAACCTTCAGATCGTTATGAAGCCTTAACAAATGAAAATTATAAACTACAAGAAGCAAATCGCGAGTTGCTTGAGAAACTCGAAAACTTAGAGAAAACCAGTGACAGGAAAATCTCCGACATGACTCAAGAAATTGAAGAATTAATTGACAACTCAAAGCACTACACTCATATCAATTCAGAATTCAACGAACTTAAGAACAAATATGACCAACTTGTGAGTGAGAAGTCAAAAGATGAAATGAATGGAAACTTAATCCAAGATTCGTCTGAACTTTCTGTAATAAAATCTGAGCGAGATGAATTGTCAGATAAACTGAAAAAAATCATGGGAGAAGTTGAAGAAGTTTCCAATAAAAATCTTTTCTTAGAACAGAAAGTTGAAAATTATTTGATTCTTGAGCAATCAAATGAACGTTTGAAGCTTACAAATGATAAACTTTCAAGACAATTGGATGAGACTTTAGTAAGTTTTGATTCTTCCATTCCATTTATTGTTCAATATCGAATATTTCTTTACTTTCAAGGTTTCAATGCATCATCATGAGGGCATTCAAGCGAATACTGAGTTTGAATATCTCAGGAATATTCTATTCCAGGTAAAGCTTTAACTTCCCCTTTCCCAAAAAAATCTTTCCTTAAATTAATTTTTCTTTGTTTAGTATTTAAGCGGTCATGTCAATTCTAATGGCACGACACTTGTTAAAGTGATTGCTGCAGTTTTAAAGTTTACGCCACAACAAACGCAATTGGTGCTTGAGAAGGAAAATCAAAGGCATACTTTGGTAAGCTGTTCACTCATTTTTAATTTAACTATTTCAATTAATTTCTTTTTTTGTTTATTTTCGCAGTTGGGATCGATTAACAATCTTCTATAGCAGGAGATTAACAACATCAACAAAACATTTTTCTAATAAAATTCTTCGACATCGTCCTACCTAGTTAGTTAATCTTCAGATAACCACATTAAAATATGAGCTAGCTAATTAATTTGAACTAATATTATTACTTTCCTCTATAAATCTTTTAAAAAAGTTATTAAAATTTAAATATATTTAGATGTGCAAGTTAGTGAGTCACACGGAAACCTTTTTCATATTCAATGCCACGCGATGCCAAAATATTTGGATGTTTTATACATAAATTGAACGATAATAATTATGTGCTAATATGCCATGTTTAAAGCGTGTGTGTGTGTTTTATAAAATATAAAAATTGAGAGAGATTTGAATTTCTTTTTCTTAATTTTGTTATGTGGTTGAAGATTTAGATAAAAAATTGATTTTAATTCGTTTCATTTTAATCTTAACTCAATATGCAGCTTTCAATTCTTAATAAGAATTATTGTAGATATTATTTAATTGAGACTTCAATAACTTTATAGTTAGGTATCTAAATAATAAACAATCATATTTTAAAATTAGTTCTTCTTTTAATCCAATTTTAATCTTGATCATCAAGATTATTAATTAATAAGAAATTATTTTAAATTAAGTGCCCAATAGCGCATGCAGCAATTCAACGTTCTATGTTCTAATGTTTGCTTGAAAATTTATTCATTATTTATAATTTTGTTGAATTAAATTGTGAGCAAGAAAAATACTAATGAAAGGAAAATAAATATGTTTGGAAAATCAACATTAGATGGAGTTTTTTTTAAAAGAAAAACATGATCTATTTCAATTGACATTTCATGCTTATAAGGAACAAACATAAAAACCCCACAGATTCCTAAACTGTCAAAAACAATGATCTTCAAATCTTTTCTCCTGACCTTTGATTTTTATTGTCTGAAAATGAAGAAAATGAATAATTTCGAATAATTTAAAGCCTTTTGCAAATATCAACATCTATTAAAAGACAATGTAATATTATATTTAAATTCTGTTTATTTTAAGTCACTTTGTTTCTATTTCCCTTATTATCTGTTTTATAAGAACTTTGAAAATTTAAAGATCATTTGAAAATTTCTCATAAGTTTAAAAATTCATTGGAAGATCATACTTAATATACAATAATAGGTAATTATTTTAGAATTGAGAATATCAAAAGATTAGGTCATATCAGTTACTACTCAAGAAATTCAAAAATGAACTCGAATATGGATTGACTTTCGGTGAGGTTGTTGCCTCTGGATCGTCAGGATCGCCTTCAAACGACACTTCTCCATTCCATGTCAAATTTTCAACGTTTTCTTCACGAAAATAAACTTGACTGTTAGTTTTGTACTTAGTGTTTGATGATGCTGTAGCTGCAGGCGTTGAACTACGAGAATTTTGTTGCTTCAAAACATTCTCATCGACATTTTGTGAAGATTCCGACTCATGACCATTTGTACTATGTTGCTTGGGACTTTTATTTGAAGTTTCATTTCTCATCAAACCATTTGACGCTTGACCTTTCTTGCTTCTCAATTCTTGCGGTGAAAGCTTCTTTTGAGGAGACGTTGGTGGTGTGGAAACTTTCGATGGGGAACTTTTCTGATGATATTTCGATGAATTTCTTGTTGGAGTTGACGGTAAAGAATCTGGTTTTTTAATTTGTAATTTAAGATTTCTTTGTGTATGAGATTGTTTTGGAGAGTCATCAGGTTTCTTGGTAATTGTCATTTGCCCAAGGGAAGCTCGAACTTTGCTAGTTGCATTAACTTTCTTATCATCAACATGGTTGGAAGGCTTCGCATTTACTTTATCGTCTTCGATTAGAAAAGCCTTATACATTTTCTCAAGCGAATCACCAATATTAGTAAAATTACTATAATAAAGATCAAGCGTCATGATCAGAAATGCTTTCGTCTTCGATGTCAATGAATTAATCTCAATAAGACATTTACGAATGTTAAACAAAGTCTGCTCAATATCAGTCTTATGACGTGTTTTAAGAAGATTCCCATTGAGTGTAATCTTAAAAGATTTAAATTTGTAAATTTCCATAAAGAAATCAATGAAATAAATCTCACCTGAGAGAGAATAATTTTCGCAAATTCGTCAGTTTTAAGATGAAAAATATTTCTTAATTCCTTTTCGAGCTCAACATTAATTATACTTAAGAGAGATTTTCCAATTATATTGATTGGAATTCCGCCAGAGAGTCTTGCTTTGTTGAAATATTCGCCATGAAGACGAACTGAATTATAAAATTTACTTAAATTATCACGCTTGAAGTTATCGGCATTTTGATTATTTTTCTGAAGAATCGAAATAGTTGCATGTCGTAAGTTTTTTCCATCAGCAGTGAATGATTCCAATTGTCGAGAGGTTACAACAGCTACAAAACTCAAAATAAATTCCTCACTAATTAAACATCGACAGTTGAACATTTCAAAAATTTCACTGCAATTAAATTATTTTAATTAAAATTTATCAAAAATTTTTCATTAATTACATACCTAAGTATCTTTTCATCCTTTACTATTGTACGAAATTTTTCACTTATCGTCCTTAATTTCAACGTTTGCATGATTGCGTCACCATTGCAATCGACATCACTAATGAGATCACAAATCTCCTCAAATATTTCTTTGTTGCTATGATGCATTTTTATAAACGCGACTTGTTGTTTAGTTCGAAATATTAAATATCACGTTTACAGTACAACACACTACTGGTGCTCGATTTAAGCAGCTGACACACGGTTGGTTATTGAACTGGTTTTGAAGCACGTGTAAAAAATCCTTGAACAGCTTGTTGTTTTTCTCTCTTTCCTTTTTATTTTTTCAACAAGTGGCTACGACTTCTTTCTTCTTTATCTACCTACATAGGTAGGTAGTTGTTTCTAATGTTATTATGTGAAACTCACTCTCAACGTAGAATTCAAAGCAGAAAATTTTTGTGATGATGTTGACTCTCACTCAAAAGAGAAACCACAAATGATTCATCGCTTTATTTTCAACTTATGCTTTAAAGAATGTTACTTATGGAAGACAAACATCAACTTTATCCTTCAAAAATACACCAAACAAGTTTGAAATATATTTTAATAAGATTTATTTTACTTTTTTATTTTTGATTACGCACTCAAAGCGTATCAGAATGTTTAGTAGTTGTAGTAATTTTTATCAGTTTACAATCGTTAACAAGTCACGTTATAATTATTTATTACACTACACAATTGTTTTTATTTAACATCTAATGCTATTAATTTATATTTTAGTGTTTACAAAGTTGCTTGTAATAAAGCCACAAAGAAAGTCTCTTACAAACGACAATCAAAAATGAAATGAGCGAACGTTGAAATTTTTATGTTTATTCACAACGTAAACTGACGTAAACGCTTGCGTAAACGGGTCATGAGAGACAAAAGAGAGTCGCTTGCGTCTGAAATTCATGATGGAACATGTTGAATCTGAAACAAATGTTACTTAAAATTGAAATTTAACTCTACTGTATTACACCAAAATGGGAGATGTTTTTGTTTATTTTTTGTGACTTTACAGAGGAAATAATTAAATTTGTTTACTTACCCCGGGGATATGATTTAAATTCTAATTGTCGTACGATTTTCAATAATTCATTCAATTTTATAATAAACGATTTATGCGTTTATTTGTTAAGATTTGTTTTCCCTGTTCTGCGTGGTTCGAAGCTCCAACGAAACTTTTAAAAAGCTTGTGCAGGAAGATAGTAAAATTATTTATTGAATTTATAAACTAAGTTTATTTAAAATGACATTTATCTGATATTTATTCAAAAGCCTTATTAGGTATATCTTTCGATAATTGGGAAGTGATTTTTAGAGTCAAACACAACATTTTTTTAAAAATACATTTTTTCAAGAATACATTTCTATAGATATTCCATTTTTTACATTAGATAAGTTGAAATGAATTGCTCCATACAATAAACAGTTATTAGGTTTCCATTATTTCCAAAGTTGAGCGTTTCTTTTTTTGTTATAATTTCGCAGAAAACTTTTGAAAAGCTCGTCAACATTCCGTTCAAAGCTCAATTTTTTGTATATAAAAGGATGACTTTTTGATAGAAAAGTTTCAGTTTAATTATTTTTGGAAGAACTCAATAAACTACACGATGAAAACTTTAACTTTTGTACTTGTCGCAATTGTCATTGCTGTTGGTGAGAAGAATTTTGTTTTATTTAAAATTTAAATATAGAAATATTTTTTTAATCCTCACTTAGATGCAAGGAAGGTGTGCGTTCCTGTGCCGGATGAAGACCCATGTGCTGCAATAGTAGAGGCTGCAATGCCTATTTGGCAAGAGACGGCTCAAATGTTGGCAAATCTCAATATTGAATGCAGTAATGAACTAAGTGCTTTGTCATTTGCAAACGGAGACGAATTTGATGCATTTAATGGTGAATTCTACACTACAGGACATTGCATGACTTCTTATAATTCATACACGGACAGTGCTATTACTTCTCTTGGAAATATCGTTGGAGCAAGTTATAATGACTATTACGACTTATTCTTCGCCTACTCTGAAAGTGTAGGAGATGCACTTTGCCTTGCTCAAGGTGATGCAAGTTTAGTCAACGCGTTCAACAGTGTTGTAGAAGGATGGAATAACATCATACAATCAAAAAAACCAGGACCAGCATAAGAAGATGAAATTGAATCATCCCAATGACCTGTAGAATGATTTCAGTTTATTTAATAAAGTGAAAATGCTACAAAACTATAAAATTCTCTTAGATAATTTTTTTTCAGATTAATTAGACATGTTTCATATTTTATTTGAATAATTAAAAGGAATCAGAAAATTGTTGGGTTTTTTAAACGTGTTCAAATTTTTTGGTACTTCGTCGTCACTAAATTACTGACATGACTTGACATATAATAATGTCTGGATAAAAGATATCTGTTGAACTTATACATAAAATACTTTACATAAAATAAGTTATTTTCACGAAGCATAAATAAAATTTGCCGCTCATGATCTTATCACTAGTAAAGTTTAAGTGTGTACTTTTCATTTATTTGTCATAAAGAAGAGCTTAAGTAAGATGTATGAAGCCTTTTGATTAAACAAGTGGTTCAATTCTGCAACGTAAGAAAAAATTACCTTGAACACAAAAAACAAATAGAGTTATTGATGTAATTTGGACACTGATCAATTGTGGACATATCTAATTTGGACATCTAAGATATCAATTTTTAGGCGTTAAAATTTATTTTTCAACATAAAAAAAAATATTTCCTGAAAGTTTTATTAACAAATTTCATTATAGGCTACTCAATGGGCCTTGAAATAAGTTTAATTCCGCAAAATAATTTAATTAATTTCATGAAAAAAAATCTGTTTCGAAAACCGCCATTTTTTCTTCTCGCTTCAAATGTTTAAGAAGCGAAAAATAACATTACTTTTAATCATTTTATGATTTCAAATACACAAAAAGATAGCAGATTATGTGCAGAAGTGAACTGATGAAAAAAAATTTGACAATAGTTTGTATTTAATTAACTATTAAATAAATAGCTCATATATTTTTCAGATCAAATGTGGACACACAATTTTTATATGGATCCACATTTGAAAATTTAACGATGAAATAATTTTCAAAAAGTGAGCATTCCTAAAATAATTAAAATTATCGATTTAAAACATCGGAATTACCTACATCTTAAACATAAATTATAATCAATTAAATGTACCATCGCAATATTTTTTTTAATTTCCTAGCATTTTTATTTTTTTCAATACATATGACTTTTTTTTTTCAAACGTTGTTGTCGAGTTTAAACACTGTCCACAAACGATCGAGCAATTGTCCACATTTGATTTTACATGTCCAAATTAGATTTTTACGTTTCACTTTCGTGTGCCGAAAGTTTACATCGCATATTTTTTCTCTAAATAGCAATCAACTCTTGCTAAGTTGATTGATATTTTAAAACCCTAAAAATAGGAAATTCTTAAATTTTTTACTCTACTGAAAATATAAATTAACAATTTAATTGATTAACTGATGCAAAGTTTTAATAATATCGATGTATGACGATTTCTTTTAAGCTATAAGTGCGTATTCCATGCCACATCTCCTTACATCATTTTATAAAGATAGTCGAAAATCAAATGTAAAGAAAACAAAATATTGAAAATTCCTTTTCTTTTATAAATGTCTGGTTTTCGAAATGAACAATAAAACGCGTCATTATCATGTCAATAAATTTAATAAGTATGACAGTACAAAATAATCATCTGTTTGTTACTTGCATGAGGTTCGTTTAAATTTAAGCACATGTAGAATTAACTGAAAACAAAAGCATCAATCTTGTCTCTTTTGGATCCTTTCAGTTATTGAAGAAAAGGCTTTGCATGAAAAGGTGCTGTTAAAAAACTGCACTGATGAATAGAACTGAGTCAGTTTATTTGAAATTAAATGAAATGGACGAATGAACAATTATTTAAAATTATCTCGCTAACAATTAGATGTAGCAAAGCTTTTGATCAAAAGAAAAGGCAAAAATTTAACAATTTCTATCGATGATGTCTTGTTTCATCAATGTATAATATGTAATTGAAAACATTGCTAATAATATGATGAAGACATGTAAGCACACGTAGAACGAATGTTTGTCTAGTATATTTACATAAAATGTGTTTGAAGTCTGTTACTAGTTTTATACAATAATTTACGCGTGAAAATTTGACTTTAACTTGTCAGTAAGATTCTTACATTGGAAAATAATTTCACCTTTTATGAATAATTTAGTTTTCATGATTCTTAGAGTCAACACAACATTTTTCATTCACTATGTAATCTCTCTTTTTCTCCTTGATACATTTATTAATTCGATACTCTGCGCCTTAAATTTGTTTACCTCTGTTCTATATCTCAAACAGAAATGACCCGCAACAGAAATTATGGTGTTGTAAAAATGGAACACATGTTGCTTCTAATTTAAAAATTTATTTAAAAATTCATTTAAATTTCTATAGATATTTCATTTATTACTTGAGATATGTTGAAATGAATTGCTCCATACACTAAACAATTACTAAATGTTCAATATTGCACATCAACATTCCATTTTTTGTATATAAAAGGATGAGTTCTTGATAGAAAGTCTCAGTTTAATTATTTTTGGAAAACTCAATAAATTACAAGATGAAAACTTTAACTTTTGTACTTCTCGCAATTGTCATTGCTGTTGGTGAGAAGAATTTTTTTTTATTTAAAATTTAAACGTAGAATTATGTAGAATGTAATTTTTCTATCTTCACTTAGATGCAAGAAACGTTCCTGTGCAAAATCAAGACCCATGTGCTTCAGCAATAGTGGCGGCAATGCCTATTTGGAAAAAGGCGGCTGAAATGATAGCAAATCTCAATACTGAATGCAATAATGAACTAAGCGCCTTGTCATTTGCAAACGTAGCGGAATTTATTGAATTTTATAGAGAATTCTACACTATACATCATTGCACGACTTCTTATTTTTCATACAAGCAAAATATTATTGCTCTTCTTGCATTTATCGTTGGAGCAAGTGTTGAAGATTATTCCAAGTATATCAACCACCAATCTAACAGAGTAGGAGATGCACTTTGCCTTGCTGAAGGTGATAAAAGTTTATTCAACGCGTTCACCAATGTTGCAGATGGATGGAACAACATTATACAATGGGAAAATCCAAAATTAAAGGAAGAAATTGAATCATACCACTGACCTGTAGAATGATTTCAGTTTATGTAATAAAGTGAAAATGCCACAAAACGAAAAAGGCATAAAAAAATTCATTTCTTGTATGTGAGACAAGAGTCTTTCTTTATCGACCTGAAAAAGCAAGTTATTATGAAATTCTGTAATTTTTCTTACTAAATGAATATTGATGTCATCATCATCAGATCAAGGACAGGCACCTATAGGCCAATCCTGGCCATATATAGGAACCACCATCAAATGCCGAAGGCATTTTGAGGGCAATGGTCATAAGTGGCACGTGAAAATGACAACATTACTCAATTTCATTGAAATTATTTTGTGCTGACTATTCACTACCGACCGTTTTGCATCCACCCAAGGTCTTTTCTAGAAAGTAGCCTTGGGCTGTTTTTACCATCATTTGACGATAGAGTGTTTCATCTTCAACTTCGTTTCGCTAGAGATTCTAAGCCTGAATATAATCTTCATTGTTCGAATTGAATAACAATTCGAGACAAAGAGATATTTCAGCACTATTTTTCATCCCAGCGAAAACTTAGTTAAAGACAAAACTGTTTAAGGGGCGAAGTATCTAAACTTCTGAAAACCTCAGATCTACATGACCACCACCAGTCTCGAACCGGCCGCGCCGTTGGCAACATTTAACAATTTCTATCGATCTTTTACATTAATACATAATATTAAAAACTTACAAATAATGTGTTGAAGACTCGTAAGCACAAATAGAACGAATGTTTGTCTACTATATTTACATAAAATGTTTTTTTACAATAATTTACGCATGAAAANTATTAAGGGATAAATATAAGCGGTTTGGAATAAATAAGCTGAGATTTAAATAACTCAAACTGAGAATGTTGTTAAAGATTGTGATGACAAATTTGTTTTATGATGTTACCCTTTGGAATGATTTCCAAATATTTATCGGTAAAGACGGTTGAATAAAGAAAAATCTTTCATCTTGAACATGAGTTTTCCACTCGATATTTGTCTCCGACATTTTGACACTTCGTGAACTTATGTGGCTGTTCAACATAAGGAATAAAGTTTTCGTAAATAAACGAGAAAAACAACAAGCCATAAATCTATGAATTAATTCACAACAATTTTTCTTGTTCCAGTTTGTTGGCGAAAATGTGAAAAACTGTGGAAAAAAAGCATATTTCTTTTACGGTTATATATTGGAATATTATGGCAAAACAAAACATCTGCTTATTCCAAAGACTAACTTTTGTCTGAAAGATCAAACCGTGAAAATGTATGATAAAAGTCGCTGAATTTATTTACGTTTCTTTCCATTGTTTTTCTTCTTTTATTATTTTTCATCATAGCAGCAAAATTTTTCTTTTTCATAGTTGAAAGAATTTTGTTGTGAGGCAATTGATTGATAATGTAAACGATTTCCATCTTCAGAATCATTAGATATGATAATGACTTCGGTTCTAGTCGATGATTGATTTGAATTTTTATCATCGCCTTTGTGCATTAGAGTGAAACATTCAAGAGCCTTTCCTGTTTGTTTGAACTTTTGCTGCATAATTTGTAAGTCAATTTTCTTTATTATTACAAGGAAATTCAATGACTTCAGAAATATTTCAATGCGTGAAAATCACCCCAAAGCATCACCATTCACCACAATTTTTCACAGTTGAACGAATCGAGAAATCGAGATGAACTGTTCATAGATGGGCAAGGAACGTCTTGCGCTACTTTGGAGGAATCTGGGTTCCACCAGCGCAAAAAATTTTGGTGGACGTGATACTACTTGTAGCGCAAAAAAAATTGGAGGATGTGATACTTCCACGTAGCGCAAAAAAAAAATGGGGAAGTGATACTACTTGTAGCGCAAACGGTTCCGGCGCTACTTTTTTGCGCTTCCGCTACTTGAATATTTATTTTGAAATAAATTAAAAGATTCTTCTTAAATAATGATATTAATCAATTATTTTAAGTGAAAATGAGAAAAGGAAATGATTTGGGCAAACATAAANCACTTTGCCTTGCTGAAGGTGATAAAAGTTTATTCAACGCGTTCACCAATGTTGCAGATGGATGGAACAACATTATACAATGGGAAAATCCAAAATTAAAGGAAGAAATTGAATCATACCACTGACCTGTAGAATGATTTCAGTTTATGTAATAAAGTGAAAATGCCACAAAACGAAAAAGGCATAAAAAAATTCATTTCTTGTATGTGAGACAAGAGTCTTTCTTTTATCGACCTGAAAAAGCAAGTTATTATGAAATTCTGTAATTTTTCTTACTAAATGAATATTGATGTCATCATCATCAGATCAAGGACAGGCACCTATAGGCCAATCCTGGCCATATATAGGAACCACCATCAAATGCCGAAGGCATTTTGAGGGCAATGGTCATAAGTGGCACGTGAAAATGACAACATTACTCAATTTCATTGAAATTATTTTGTGCTGACTATTCACTACCGACCGTTTTGCATCCACCCAAGGTCTTTTCTAGAAAGTAGCCTTGGGCTGTTTTTACCATCATTTGACGATAGAGTGTTTCATCTTCAACTTCGTTTCGCTAGAGATTCTAAGCCTGAATATAATCTTCATTGTTCGAATTGAATAACAATTCGAGACAAAGAGATATTTCAGCACTATTTTTCATCCCAGCGAAAACTTAGTTAAAGACAAAACTGATTAAGGGGCGAAGTATCTAAACTTCTGAAAACCTCAGATCTACATGACCACCACCAGTCTCGAACCGGCCGCGCCGTTGGCAACATTTAACAATTTCTATCGATCTTTTACATTAATACATAATATTAAAAACTTACAAATAATGTGTTGAAGACTCGTAAGCACAAATAGAACGAATGTTTGTCTACTATATTTACATAAAATGTTTTTGATGTCTGTTACTTTTTTTACAATAATTTACGCATGAAAATTTGACTTTAACTTGTCAGTAAGATTCTAACATTTGGAAACTAATTTCACTCTTTAATGCAATGTCCTGTAGTGTAGAACTCAGCGTTAAATGCATCAAATTCCTCTTCGTTTGCAAATGACAAAGCATTTAGTTCATTTTTGCATTGTGCACTGAGGACTATCAGCATGTCGACAGAATCTGAATAAAAAAACATTGCAGTTGCTACTAATGCATCACATGGGTCTTCATCCGGCACAGGAACGCACACATGTTTCATATTTTATTTGAATATTGAAAAGGAATCAGAAAATTGATCATCTTTTTTAACGTGTTCAATTTTTTTTTGGTACTTCGTCGTCACTAAATTAGTGACATGAGTTGGTAAATAGTGATGTCTGAATAATAGATATTTGTTTAACTTATTGACATTAAATAACTTATTTTCACGAAGTTTATACAAAATTTGTGCCTCATGATCTTATCAGTAGTAAAATTTAAGTGTGTGCTTGTCATTTATTTAGCATGAACAATTGAATGTATTAAAGAACTTTAAATAAGACGTATAAGAAGGCTTTCAAGTCTTTTGATTAAACAAGTGGTATCATTCTTGAAATAAGAAAATGTTATACTTTAATTGTTTTGAAACACGTAATAAGTATCACTAACTTAAGTTAAACTAATAAGTTAAAAAAGTGTTCGGTATTCGTGTTCAGTGTTTTAATTAAGAAAATGTTACGTGAAACACAAATACTGAAAATATAAATCAACAATTTAGTTGATTAACTGCAGCGACATTTTAATCATTCAAATTTTTAATGATTTCTTCTCAGACATTATTAAAAAATCCTTTTCTTTCACATGTCTGGTTTTCGAAAAGAACAATAAAACACGTCACTGAAATAAATTTTATATGTATACTGCAAAATAATCATCTGTTTTTTATTATTGCATGAGGAACGTTTGAATTTAAGCGCATGTAGAATTATCTAAAAACCGAAGCATCAATCTTGTCTGTTTTGGATCCTTTCAGTTAATGAAGAACCATCTTTGCATGAAAAGCTGCTGTTAAAAATCTGCAATGATGAAGAGACATAGATGGGCAAGGAACGTCTTGCGCTACTTTGGAGGAATCTGGGTTCCACTAGCGCAAAAAATTTTGGTGGACGTGATACTTCCACCAGCGCAAAAAAAATTGGGGGATGTGATACTTCCACGTAGCGCAAAAAAAAGAGGGGGATGTGATACTACTTGTAGCGCAAACGGTTCCGGCGCTACTTTTTTGCGCTTCCGCTACTTGAATATTTATTTTGAAATAAATTAATCGACTCTTCTTAAATAATGATATTAATCAATTATTTTAAGTGAAAATGAGAACAGTAAATGATTTGGGCAAACATAAATATAGATTTCCCAAACAATTTTCCAAATTTTCCCAAACAATTTTCCAAATTTTCCCAAGCATTTTTCCGAGTTTTATCAGCGATTTGTTTTGAGAAAACTCTGAAAATTTATCGGAAAAGCTCGGAAAATTGCTTGGAAAAACTTATAAAATTGTTTGGGAAAATATGGAAAATTGTTTGGGAAATCTATATTTATGTTTGCCCAAATCAGTTCCTGTTCTCATTTTCACTTAAAATAATTGATTAAAGAACAAAATCTAATAAGAATCTTTTATTTTATTTGAAAATAAATATTCAAGTAGCGGAAGCGCAAAAAAGTAGCGCCGGAACCGTTTGCGCTACAAGTAGTAGATATCACTTCCCCTTTTTTTTTTGCGCTACGTGGAAGTATCACATCCTCCATTTGTTTTTGCGCTGGTGGAAGTATCACTTCCTCACATTTTGCGCTACGTGGTAGTACTGCAAAAAAATGGTTACGCAAGACATTTTTTGCAGTAAAGTACGCTACCAGCGCAAGACATGCCCATCTCTGTGAAGAGAAGCAAGTAATTAATAATTGTAACAGTCTTCGACCGAATAACCCATAACTTTAATTCGATCTTCATCAATGTTAATAAAACTTTTTCGACGTATTTTGAATGAATTAATTCGTCATACTTAAGTTTGGAGTTCACCTAATCTTAATTCGAACTACTCATGCATATTTTCGGAAAAATACTTGAAAATTTCTTCATCTGATGATGATGTTCATCTTTAGACCCGAGTAAGCACAAGTGGTATCAGGTCTCGAATAAGGAAGTCTAACTCACATCAAACACAAAAATTGCAAATGTTTCAGTTGATATTGTATTGTCGTCATTTGGTTACACAGATGTTGATGATTCTGTTATTTATTCGCTATGTAGCTGTAGGTATCACTTTTAATAAATTTTTTCATTGAAAATTTCCTTTTGACAAATTTAAATCATTTATCAATTGCTCCATGCATTAAAAAAATTTTTTTGTTATAGGTAATTTCGCAGAGAACTTTTAAGAAGCTCGTCAAAATTCCATTTAAAGCACAATTTTATATTACCTATAAAAGGATGAGTTTTTGAAAAAAAAACAGTATCAGCCTAAGGATTTTTGGAAGAACTTAATAAACTACACGATGAAAGCTTTAACATTTGTACTTGTCGCAATTGTCATTGCTGTTGATAAGAAAATTTTTATTTTATTTAAAATTTAAATCAACTTGATTTTTTAACAGCTTCTTTATTTTTGAATTAGTTTTAGCTAAAACCGATTGGAAACTTAGAGACTCAACTGTATGTTGTCTGCATATCATTTTATTTTCTCCTGTTCTCGCATATGTAAGTAGGTATTCGAAGTAAAACTTCCATTATGGAAGTATCGAAATATTAAGTCGATGAACACAATATTTAAATTTTCCTTGCCTTCATTTCAGTGTGAAAGAGTAAATAATAAATAAACAAAAGAGTCATCAGAATCAGATAGTGACGAAGAATGAAATCAAAGAGAATCCAAGAAGTGGAAAGTTACTTTTCTACAGAAATGAGTAAATTTTCTGAAAATGTTATTACAAAGTATATAAAGGCAGACTTTCAACTAAACTTATTCAATGTTAAAATACCTAACTGGTGATATTTACTCTTTTAGACAAAAAATCCAAACAGAAAGTTAGCAGATTGCTTCCCAACTAAAACTTTGATCAACTTAGATTCTTCTGAAGATGTAGAATATGTGTTGAACGCAGAACGAATTCCTCGGCGGAAACTAAGTTCAACTTCATCATCCACAAATGTTTATTATTTTTTGGTCAAAAAAGCTTTTATTCGGGTGCGGCTTCTTTTCGCTGTCTTCGCATTGTCCTCTCGTTACGCCGTCTGATTTCAAAGTTATCGTATTCAGAACTGTCAGTTGATGTGAAATAAGGATCCATATCACTTTTCTGGTCTTTTAGTTACACTCTTATAGTTCGCGCTTTTATTCGAGTCGTGCTCTTATTCGAGTTTTTCGATCGAATTTTAAGCCGCAGGGCATTTTTCAAGCAAAATTCGAATAAAAGCTAGCGGCTTATGTTCGGGTTAAGACAGTAGTCTTCACAACAAAATCGTCATAAACTATCTAATTTCTCATGAAGCGAAAACCTATTTAAATAAATTTTATGAATCTCGTGTTAAAACGAGTGGAGATTCGACAGCAGTTGAACTTCCTTACAGCATCAACAACATAGAGAATGACCAGGAAAAGACTAAAATATTCATGATTTATCAAGTAATAAATAATGCGATTTTAATTTATTCGCCAAAAAATAATTTTTTATCTCAATTTAGCAGCTAGAACTAAAGTAAGCAATGGCTATAAAGATCTATATGCCTTAATTAAATAAATAGGAAGATATGTAATTCAGTTACAAAACAAGAATTTTAAAAAAATCATGAACTTTAAATCAAATCAATTTATTCCATTTTTCTTGAAATTTTTATAAACAATCAAAAGAAACAAAACAAAAATTAAGTGTACAATATTTTCAATAAATTCTTTTAAGAGTTGTAGCAAAACTGAAATGAATCTGAAAAATTTTAATGAACCATAATGTAAAAACATAAGATCACAAGTGAAAATGAGATAATAAAAAATTATGAAAAATGATATTCAAAAAATAAAATTAAGAAAATTTATTAGATTTGTGTCTGAAATTCGAAGATATGAAAGATGTTTAGAAAAATATCTTCGAGGACAGAGATAAACAATATTGTGTGATAGATTAGATAATGGATTAAAAAATGCATTTTTAATAACTTTCATATACACACTAAAATTGCAAAAGAAGTAAGAAACATTCAATTTTTTTTGTTTTATCCTAACGGCCATGGTTATCCGGAGGATTAAAGAAATCCCAATGATGATGATGAACTGATTTATCACCCATTCCCATTAGAATGAGTCCTGCTACAATAATGATCAAAATAACTAATGCAAGATGCAAGTCACGCTTATTTTCATCTTTACTGCTTGCTCTCAAAATTTCCATTAATTGTCCACCCGATTCTTTTAATGCATTTCCGCAAGCACGTATAAATTGACTTCCTGCTCCCAACACAGATTGATCGCTTGAAGTTCCACCTCGACTTTTAGTTCTTTGACCTTTCTGATAATCTTCTTCCGACGTTGAATCTCTTTTCCTATTCTGATGACGACGACGTCTTTGTGGCACTGACTGATGATGAACGGCATCTTCTTCTGAATTGTCTCTCAGTTGATAAAAAGCTGGCGGTACTGCTATATAATTAAATTCCGTTGGTAAAGGAGGTCTTACTGGTGCATTTTCATCGTCAGCAACTCTTTGCGGTTGTTGTGAAGGGTCATGTTGCTTATGTTGTTCGACACGTTCAGCATTTCTTACTCTCTCGACTATCTCTTCTATAAAGCCAGGAGGGAACTCTATTGGCTTATCGTCACTTGTTATATTGTGACTAGATTTGCACTCAAGTTCGTTTGTAACTATTGTGTTGCTATCGATTTCTGATGCAACTATTCTTCCTGCTTGAAGTGAATGAACGCTAAGGTTATCGATCTCAAGATTAGGAAGATGAAGGCGATTTGATAATTGATTACCATGGAAATCACTCTGCACTTGTTCGAGTGCTGAAAATTCTTCTTGATGTGTCTGATTTTCATGCGGTGATAACATTTTTGAATCATTTTGTGTTCCATCAACTCTTGAACTCTCCTTAATCTCATTTGTTTTCTCTGCGGTTTCAATATTTGATTTTCTTCTTGGTGGTGGCAAAGGGGGAGCTTGTAGTGCTTCTATCTCGTCTTTCACTTCTTCAACAACGTTATCATTTGACGTTTTTATCAAATCAACTTCGTCTCTCGCACTATTCATAACAGATTCAATCATTTCTTCAATTTTTCTTTGCATGTCTCTGTCGAAATATTCGTCATCTTTTTCTTTATCGCCAGCAACGTCTTCTTGGTCATTTGGTGTTTGTTCTGAATCCAAATTTAAATCATCTTGAGGTATGATATTCAAAGTAATGTTAGTTGGCTCGTTTTGTTGAATCGTCGGTTCATTTATGATGTTCACGAGTTCGAAATTATTATTCACATCGAGAGCTTCAGTTGTTTGTTCAATTAAATTTGACTCCTCTTCACTTGGGGGTCTTCCAAAGTCATCATAAGTTATTGGATGAATAAAAAGTCCTGCCTCAGTTAATGTTTGTTCTTCATTATTAAACATAATTGGTGATGATTTCTTTTGTTCAACTAAAACCGCTAAAAGCAGAAAAAAAAGTTAAGAAAATTTCGGCAATTATAAATCTTGTGACCTACCAGAAGGCGTAATTGGTCTGCTTAATGATCTAGAACGATCTCCAGATGCTTTTGAACGTTCTGATAATGAACGCTGACTTGAATCTCTAAATCTCTGTATTCCACGTGAAAGATTTTCAGCCTCAGCTAATTGCCGAGCTCTTTCAATTTCAGCTTCTTGTTCTTCTTTCAAAATATCTTCTAAAGTTTTCATTTTGCCATTAGAAGTTAAAAATTCATCGCCGAGGTCGATGTCAATGTTTTCATCTTCATCGTCATCACATATAAATTCTTCATCAGGCACGGGATCGGTTTGGGTTGAGACTTCAACTTCAATAACTTTATCAGGTTCTGATAAATCTGAGTCTTGTCGGGGCAAAGATGCACTTGCAAATGGTTCACTTTCATGCACGTCATGTATGTTTTCAAGAAAAACATTTTCAGTGTCTGTTTCGATTGTTAACGATTCAATTACTTTTTCAGCGCCATCATCTTTATCAAATTTGTTATCATCATTATTGCCATCATCTTTTTTGTTCTTTTTATTTTCTCGTTTAGGTCGTGGTGGGGGTGGTAATGGCCTGTCCTTCATTTTCTTCACAATTTCTCCAGATTTTAGACGTTGGTGAACAATGCTATTGTCGTTATTATCCAATATTTCTTCATAATCATCATCGTCATTTTTAATAGTTCTATAAAGAAAGAAAGTTTCGTTTTCTCATTTAATTTTGCTGCTTTTATTAACTTTCATTTATCCAATGAATGAAATACTTTTTAAAGAAGAATAATAAAATATTACTTTGAAATTTCAACTAAGCTGCCTGTTGATTTTGTTCGTGGCGGTTTACTTGGAATTATTGTGCTGTAATTACGAACAGGTCTATGGGGTGGTGTATCACCGTCTCGTTTCATATGCGGCATTGTTGCAAATTGTCTTTCCCCTAAGGATTTTGTTGAGCGCTTACGACGAACAGGTCGTGATGGGGTTTCTTTTCTTACTAGTGCATAACTTTCAAAAAAAAAGGAAGAAGAAAGTAATAAAAAGTTAGGAATGTGGGGATGAGTGATTGGATTATACAAGCTTACCCATTTTCTTTATCTTGATTATGGAAAGCGGTAAAACCTTCAACGGAATCTTTCTTAAAAGATTCCGCATCGTCCAAAGTATGTGCAGATATTTCTGAACGTGACCTAGTACGTCGTGGTGTAGGTGTGGGTGTAGTGAAATATTCCTCTTGTGCTAAAGGAACATATTTTTGTTGAGATTGAAAAACTGTGATCTAAAATAATTTTGTTGTTAAGTTAAAATAGATGAAAAAGTATTCATAAAAGAGATTCCTAGCAGATTAAATTCTTTGTGAACTTACATTTTGTTCTGCCAACGGTGTTTTGTCGGTAATGCTTTCATTTCGTACCGCAACGAATGGCTGGAAGGCTCGAATTTTTTTCTTTTTTCGGCGACGTGGAGGCGTAGGTGGAACAGGCAAATTTGATAAATTGTATTCCAAGTCGTTGTCAAAATCATCTTTTGCCAAGATCAAATCGGGATGCTCTAAACCTTTTAAGATTTGTTGTCGGTAATACGAATCTTGTTCACTTAAGTCATCGATAATTTCATCTCCAACATCGAAAGAGTCTCCAACCAGCTCATCGCGATTTAAATCGATATCCTCTTCAGCATCTCCTTCAGTGCTAAAGCTTTTGGTTTGATGACGGCCTTGTTGCGCTTCAGGAAAGGTTTTATAAAATTCTTTAAAGCCTAAAGTATTTTCACGATTCCACTTGTTATCATCTTCACCATCGTCTTCTTGATTTTTTTTATTCTTACGCTTTAGTGACCTGATGGGTTTGTCTGGTATAAAATCGCTTTTCTTTTCATCATATTTTCCCATTTTTGACAAAGCGTTATCTTCGGGTGAACTCAAACCTTCTTTGATGGCTGAACTGATGTAATCACCAATATGAATTTCATTTGAAATTCTATTTTCTCTCAGAAAGTAATCATCTTCTTCATCCAAAATTCCTTTACGTCGTCGAGTTTCTGAACTTCCGCTGCTCTGAGTTTCTTGATTCGTTTGTGGGGTGTAGGAACGATTTAAATCAGATTCGTTCTTATAATAATCTAAAGCATATTTTTCAGAATCATCGAATTTCAAAGCATTTGGCTCATGAAATTCATCTGTTACGTCCTTGTTTAACATTCCACTCCAAAGCATTTTGTCATCATCAGAACTTTGTCTTTCTACAGCGGATTTCTTGTATCTTTCTTGAGCCATCAGATGAATCTCGTGATTTTCGTTTTCCATATCATCGAGTTGTTTTTGTTCCTCTGACAACAAACGTTTAACAATTTCAAAATCTTCTCTTTCTTCAGTTGATCGATCATAATCTAATCTCATTCGTCTTTCAATTGAAGACTCTCGATCAATTTCAGATTCGCTGTGGAACTGTTGATATTTTTCACTATCTTGATGATATTCAGGCCAGCGACTTGCTACGGGTCCCCTTTGCGTGAAAGTCTCTGTAACTCTCTTAAATTCAACTATTGGAGGTGATTCAGATCGAACACTTTGATCGCTTCGTTCGGGTAATTTTTGTTTCTTAAATTTGTCTCTGATCATACGAGGATAAGTTCCAAAATGGAAACGTTTCTTTGTTGGTTCAGCTGTAGCAATTTCAGGCGTTGTAAATGATTCCGAATCATTTGTTGCAGATTCTTCTTTTAATGACTTACTTCTACCCAACTTGCGGAACCTCGCAAATCTTTCTCCAATCTTTAATTCAGGCAAGCTTGGACGCTCCGAGGGTACTTCCGATGAAGAAATCTCGTCAGGTTTATTTGATTGCGATTTTTTAAATTTCGGCAAGGACGGCTTTTTAATGTTCTTTGCAAAATTGGGCATTTTGAAGGTTTTGGACTTGGACTGAGGTTTAGGTTGAACAGTCACTGTCTCAACAACTTCAGATTCTGTAAACATTTCCACGTCAGCAGTCATCTCTTCGTCTTCTTTCGCCACCTCTGCAGCAACAGGTTTTTCCTTTGGTTTTCTTTTCATTTTACTACCCAGCGATGACTTCAACATGCCTGCTTGAGCTTTAATCTTTTTGTGAAGATTTTTTCCTTGTTCTTGAGCACTGGTTATAATATTTCTCTTTTTTGGCAATTCTCTGGTTACTGGGCCTTCATCAATAATAACAGCTTCCTCAAAAGTGTTTTCCTGATGAACATGGGTTTCATCATCAACTATTGGGGCAATTTCCTGTTTGAAAAATCTGTTTTCGATTTCGTTTTGGAAATCTTGCGCGCTTATATTATCTTCACTGTCTTCAGTTGGAGTACGTAAGAGTTTCTTGTCAGAATTTTGTGTATCGGGTTGATCAAGGTCGGTAACATTTTCGTTGGGATCTGAAATTGGCTCATACTCGTGATCACTGAAAGCGAAGAAAAAAAAAGAGTTAAAATTAGTTTATATAACGTAAACATGTAGATTCTTAATTATTTAAATATTTTGTATAAAATGTGAGAATATCAGCCGGAAGACTAACAATTGGTAGACTTTAAAATGAATAAATTCTTGTTAGGTATTTGATATTATTTTTCGAGTTTTCAACCACACTAAGATGAATGTATGCGAGTGAAAATTGAAGAAATAAATAAACATATGAATACANAGAGAAAGCAAGACGCTTTATGTGGGGCCTTTTAGAGTTCATCATCATCATCATCAGAGTAGGGAGTGCACGACTGTACACTAAAGCGATTAAGAATACAGGAATATAAATTCCAACTTGTTTCGCTCCCTTTGTCTCATCACCTGAATGATGAAGGTTCCACTTTCAGTAGCGTTCCACAGGATTGTATATTCCTGAATACTCTTCATTGTTCATATTTGACAAATTTATATTTTTATCAAATTTGATACAAAGAGACATTTCAGTTTATTATATCCTAGTGAAAAATTCCACTTTAAATGAAACAGGGGCGAAGTATCTAAACTTCTGAAAACCTCAGCCCAAGTGACCACCACCGAGAATGGAACCAGGATCGTACCGATTAGTGAATCGATACGAATTCTGATACAAATCCGATGGCACAGACACTTAGGCCAATGAAGCAATTTGTTAGGTATTTGATATTATTTTTCGAGTTTTCAACCACACTAAGATGAATGTATGCGAGTGAAAATTGAAGAAATAAATAAACATATGAATACACAAATAAACACATCGACAATAGATATCTGCGTTTGAATCTTTAAATGTTTTCAGTATTTATAGAAACATTTTTGTGACATTTTCTCTTACCGACTATCATGCATTCGTTCCAATTTTTGCATTCGGTCTCGAATGGGAAATACCATTGGAGACATTCTATGATATTGATCAAAATTGGGATTATCATTTGAATTGACATTTGAAGACTTTCCATAATCAAAACTAACTGTTTTAGTCATTTTTGTAGATGTTCGAATATCTGCTGACGAGCCTTGCAAAGACGGTGCTTGAGATTTAGACTTTGGTCGATATTTGTTTAGTAAAGTCGATGTCGAATAACGATCTAAACTTTTTTGACTACTAAATTGTCCTTTTTTCATAGTATATGGAGAAGTGACATTTGATTGAACAATTGAGGTCGTCGCAAAACTAGAACCAGTCGTTGGAAAATCTCTTCGATAGTTTTCTATTTCTATTGAGGGAACATTTTTACCATCAAAAGTTATTGACTGATTTATTTGACGCAAACTTTCATTTTCTTTGTTATTTGAATATCGATATTCTTCACTTTGAATTGAATTATTCGTATCAGCATAATAATCGGGTACGGATGACTTTCCGAAACTTAAAACACTTCCAGACAATTTCTCTTCCTCTGCTGTGCTTTCAAGATTATTGTGCTTAGAGCAATAAATTGGCTTTTCAATTTCACCCGCACGAGAAGGTGGTCGAGATCCAATGGGATTTATTCGCTCAGGAATCAAAGAATCAGTTTGATAAAACTGACATGCACATCGCACTTCAAGAGGCGCAGCATGGGAACTTTCTGCTCTAGAGCGGGATAAAGGTTTCTTATGGGGAACTGCACCAAGGGATGATGATCGTAATCGTGAATTCATTGAACGTTAAAAATTAAGTTTTCTTTTTTAATGACACTGACGCTAAATAAACCTTTAGCGCTTCTTTGTTCATTGATTAAAATGAAAATATTTATTGTTAATAAAGTCAATGTCCTTATGTAATCCGTTCACTGAGTGTTCTAGCTTCAATATTTTCTTTTATATTTCATTTAATTTTGTTTGAAATTTCAATTCTATTTATAGATATTTTTCTCATCACTTTTCTTTTAAGGTGTTAGTTGAACCAAAATTCTGGATTTAATTTTTTTATTCATCTGATGACTTCTTGTACTGAATTTCGTATGAATCACTTCTCCAATAAATATTTAAAGAACATAATTTAAGAAAATAAAATGAAGAAGAAACAAAAGAGCAAAAATTGAAAGAATCGATCTTCACGTCGCCATATTTCAAATGAAACTGAGGAGCAATGTGAAAAGTTAAATATAAATTTGAGAAATTCCCAGTAAATAAGAGCTTTATTATTCTACATCGTTAATATGATCATAAGTTTCAACTCACGAGAGAAGAAAACTCTTTTTCAGTTTCACATTTTCTTTTCAATGAGATTTTCATTTGTGTTAAAGAACTTTCAAGTAGATTTGGTTCACCCGGCAATCAATTCGCATATCTTTATATTTGTCTGTTTCATCTCATTCTGATTTTACTTTCCTATACAGTTAACTCTTAATAATAAATATTTGAAGGGACCGAAAATTAATGTTTTATCGAGTGAAATTTCAAATCGAGGAAATTTCGTTCCAGATTTTGACCCATATGCAGTTTAATATCGAGTGAAATTTCTTATCGAAAGCCTTTCTTATCAAGAGTTGACTGTATTAAGGCTGTGAAATACATATTAGCAATTTTAAAAATTTCAATACGATGAATTATGAGCCACAATCTTTTTGAAGTAATGTCTAAGCTTTATATAAATTCTCATTTTATAAGTATTTCATTACATGATTATGATTTATGTTTTCTGGCATTAAAAAGAAGATTACAACCAATGTCATACATATTAAGAAAAATTTATTATCTTCATAATTAATATTGAATATTAAATTTATTTTTATGTCAAATCAAACAAAGTTATCCATTTATTGGGTAAAAAGAAGCACTTCATCATTATCTGCAATATGGGAAGCAAATGTTAATGCGACTTCGAAGTTTGGAATGTTTTTTGAAAATAGGACGATCCTTAAAAAAATTTCTGAAAATTTGATTTTAGTATTTGTTAGACTTGTAATTTCTTGGAAAAAAACATAAATTTTGATAAAAAAGTGATACCAACCTCATTTTTGACCAGCGAGAATTTATTTTTTTCGAACTTTCTTGTGGAAGTTTTACAAAAACATCTTCTTTCACAATTTGACAAGAATCGTCTTGAGGTTTCGACGGAGATTGTTTCAAAGTTTTGTCATTATTTTTATTTTCCTCTATCGATAAGTTTGTTTCCTTAGACTCATCTTTAATTTTATTCACATCTTCAATTAAAGTTGTGCTTATGTCTGAACCATCATTCTTTAAACTTTCTATTTCTCTATCAACTGAAGAATCGTCAAACGATTTTTTCTTGTTATCGCTTGTTTCACTTTCTTCAGCAAGAATCGATAATTGAGTTTTTCTATCTTCATCTGAAGATGTCGAATCAATTGAAGATATCGGAGCAAGAAGATGTAAATGTTTAATATGCACATCTGAAATTTCTTCGATTTTTTCTTCTTTATCTTCATCGGATATTTGTTTTTCTAATTCTTCGATTCTTGGAATTTTTTTCGCAAGTTCTTGACGGTATTTTTCATCTTGAGTTGTCAAAGATTTTCTTATGCTATTGTTGATGTCCTTAGAAAATTCATCGAAAATGGGATCGATTTTACGGTTTGACATTGAATCATTTCCTGGTATTTCATGTTCTTCGGTGACACCCTCAGACGTGACTTTAGAAAGATTTTTTTCGATTGATGTTTCATCCAACTCTTTGGCATGAGTGATTTCTTCAGAAATTTCTTGGCGAAGCTTCTCGTCATGAACGCTTAAAGATCTTCGAATCCTTTTATTCAATTCACGAGAGAACTCATCAAACACTGGATCAATTTCACCTGGTTTTGGCTCTAATCTAGGATCTTCTTCAAAACTAGCTCGTTCAACATGTTCATTATCGGACGTGATTTTAGAGATTAAATTTTCAATTTTTGTTTCGACAGCTGAAAGCGTAGTCGAATTCTCTTCGTCTTCATGCTCAGTTGATTTTTGTTTTTTCATCTTTTTATTTTTTTTAGAAATTTTTTTATCATTATCGTCTTGATTTTCTTGACTTGACAAATGCGTCTCTAACATTTTAATTTGTGGGATTTCTTCGGCAAAATCTTGACGAGTTTTTTCGTCATGAACACTCAAAGATCTTCGTATTCGTTTATTTAATTCTCTCGAAAACTCATCAAAAACTGGATCAATTTCACCTGGTTGAGGCTTTCTTTCCAACTTTTCATCATGTTCAAAAGCGACACGCTCAACATTCTCTTTATCAGATGTAATCCTAGAAATATATTCCTCTATATCTTCATACACATGGTCTCGTTTCTTTGATGTGCCATCTTTAGAGTGTGATGAGCTTCCACTGATTGAAATTTCATGAGATTCGACGGTACTCTCTCTTTGTTCGTTATCACTTTGCTCCTTTTGTTCATTTGTTTGTGAAATATTTTCTTTGCTATCATCAGATAGAGGAAGATCAATGATCTCGTCAGGCTTCACCATAACATTTTCAGCTTTCTTACGCTTCCGATTTTCCATAGGTGACTCATCAAGCTCGAGAATTTCTAAAGAGTCTTCACTATCTTGTTTAACAACATAGGATGTAATTTCACGATGCTGAGATTTTGGCGACTCTTTAAGTTTTAAAATTTTCAATTCATCATTAAGAGCGAGGTCATTCTTAGAAACAGGAATTTTTTTGATGGATGGTTTGCTTGACTTTACCTTCTTAAACTGCTGATCTGCCATTTTCTTGATCTTTTGCAAAGGATTTTTAATTTTCTTCTTCAACGATCCTGAATCAAACTTCGATTCTTTTGGTTTAATATTTTCCGCAATATTTTTGGAACCTTTCAAAATGCTTTTAGGCGATTTTTGTTCATCTAAAATTTTTTCATTGTCTTCAAAAGTTTCAGATGGTTCGGCGTCATCTTTATTAATCGCTTTTTCACCTCCTTCAGCTTCTTGATCCGATAAATCTTGAATATAATTTTCGGTCTCTTTCACTTCTATTTCGTCTTGAATGCGAACCTTCTTTTGGGATTTTGGAGTTCCTGATTCTGAATCGAAATGTTTCCTTGAAGATCTTGGAGAGTGTTTATAGTTTAAAATAATCTCTGGCTCTTCATTATCACCCAATGGTTGTTTGTAAAGATGTGTCCAAGGATAACCACCCTTTAAACAAAATATAAAAATAAATCAGACATTAATAAAATTTTGATCTCTTTTTGTATTGATGTACAGCGAAGACAATTTCTTTTAAGGAACGCAACGGTATAGTTGGAGGTACATACATCATCACCACTTACTTGTTCCTTAGATTTCTTAACGTCTTCCCATAAATATGTAGGAATTGGTACTGGAGGCTTTTGTTCATCTTCACTCACCAATGCTTCACTCGACAATGCTTCAGATATTTTGTCATTTGACAAATCGCCAGGAGTTGAGCTTTCGTTATTTTCGATGTGAAGCGGTTTTTCTTGAATTTCCGTGATTGATACTTTAAGGTCTTGAGGCTTGACTTCAATATTTTCAGTGTTTGAAATTAATTCTATAGGTTTCGTAGATACTTGAGGTTTAATTTCAATTTCAATTGATGCCTGAGTTATTTTTGGCTTGAAAATGTTCTCAGCAAACTCGCTTTTCTGCTGGGATTCTGGTTGAAATGAAGCAATTTCAAAACTTTTATTTGAATCTGAAAATGGTTTTATATCTGACGAAATCTGCTGATCAGTTTCTTTCTCATCGACAAGCCCAGTTTCTCCAGAAGTTTTAATATTTTCACTGTCTTTCGATTGTTCTGCAGCAATTTCTAATGGAAGTTCAATTTCCAACGGTTTAGCTTCTTGTAAAATTTGCTCTATTTCATGATCAATTTCGTCTGTGCTTTCTTCAGATAATTTTTTAAATTTTAAAGGCACAACTTTCTCAAACTCATCGTCTATATTCACATCAGAATTTTTCCCAGGCTCATTTTGCGAGGCAATGACATCTTCATTGTCACTTTCACTGGCCTCACTTTTAATATCAATTACTTCAGTATTTTTATCAGCCACAATGTTATCATCCTTTTTCTCTTCAAGCTTTTCAACTTCACAAATTAAATTCTCTTGCTGAGTTGCCACTGGTGCTTCTGTTCGTGTTGCGCTCGGCAGCGAAACTAAAAATAAATTTCGAAGTAGATAATTATTTTAATAAAAAAACTATCATTAAATAGAATACTGTTGAGAGAAAAGTCTCTTCTTTTATCTCATATTGTTTATTACTCATTCATTAGCATTAAAATGGGGACAAATTAAACTTCAACATTTTTCTTATTAATTTGAGTATATTTTCATACCCATACCAACACAAAAACTTATTACAGATAGTAAAGATCATATTTCTCTAGCTAATTTCAAAGATAAGTTTTCTTTCAACAATTAATTACCATATCGATTAAGTACGCTTAAATATAAATAAACCATTCCGTAAGTCCAATATTATGATCGAAATTATCTTAGTTTAAATAAATACATTAGGTGTTAATGGATGATAATACTTTGAAGACTAAAGTAATGATTGAAGGCTACTGACTTTAATTCGTTCGTTCACTACCGTTTCATTATTTTTATATTCGTTATCAATGAACGAATAGAGAATTTAAAGACCCGACACTCATTTGACGATTTATGATAACTGACACGTTCAGAAAAGTTTGCGCAACAATTTTTTTTTCTATTTTTGTTATAGATATGTGCCAAGTTTCCAGTTTCTGTGTTGATGTGATATTTAACATTTATTCGTTAATTTTTCTGCTTTTCTCCTCAAATTGTTCGTCTTCTGACAACTTTGTTTGTAAGTTATTACATTTGAAATGATGAATATTAGACACACAAAACTTGAACTTAGTCATGAAGGATAGAAAAGTATTGTATGTACATTGTTATGAAATTATTTAAATATTTATTACCTATTGTACTTTATAATCTAATCATTTATGAAACTTTACGGTATTCCTACGCAATCATGCGAAAACAGAGGTTTGGTGAATTAAGTTTCGATTAATAATATTAATATGACATAGTTCAATTTCAAAAATACTTCCAATTTCATTCAGAAAACTTTTAAATATTTAGTTCTATTGACTAAGCAAATAAAAATAAAAGAAAGTTTCGTCTAGTCAAAATGGAACAAAAACCGAAACAACCAACTTGTTTTCAGAGAAAATTTACGCTAGCAAATATATTTTTGGCTTTTTTATTTTAGTTTTCTTTTCTAAAAATGCAAAATATTAATTTTTTTTAAAGAAGTTTTAAAAATATTTGGATAAATGTTTGGATGCTGTTGACAATATCGTTCCCTGAAATTGCCCCAATAAATTATTTATGACATCTTGTAAAATTCATCTTTCATTTACTTTCATCCACGCACTGTCCTTATCAGAAGGACTCATTCTAGATAAAAAAAAGTCAGTTGCCATGATTGTAAGTGCAGTAATTAAATATTCAGACAGTTAATCCATTTTCTTAAATGCTCAAAATATTTTTAAATGTTTCAATCTAACTGGAATAGTCTATAAGTATTTTCATTTTTACTTCATTTCATCCCGTAAATAACATGAAAAACGCTAGCATCCAAATTTATAAATAAACACATTGAATTTTTTTGGCAAAGATTTTTTGTGCTGTTGTTGCGTACACTTTTATTTATATGATTTGATTTAAAGTCTTATGTACTATTTAGACGTTCTGTGTTACATAAAAATTTGTTAACCATTGCACTGGAAAGGTGTTAATTGCATACGCACTCAAGAAAATGTGTCACAACATAATACTCATAATGTTGGAAGTAAATATGTTGATATGTAATAAACAAACGTCCTTGTGAAACATAACGAATTTACATTTATGATAAATCGACAAAATGTAGCATTAATGTAAATACTTTACGGTAAATATTCTCAGTCAACTTTGCTGATTTTTCTTTAAAGAAATCTTTAAGATGGTTCGCAATATTTTATTTATAGACACACTCACTTCACTAACGTCGACTAAAGTTGAATTCATTTTTTGTCACGTCAGTTTAATTCTCTACTGATTCACACGTATTTTTTAAAATTTAGCAATGGTAATAATCTGAATTTAATTCTTAATTTATATTTATGAAATAAATTGCATCCATGATAAATAAATCTTTGAAGTTGATAACAAATGCGGAATAGATAGATACGTAAATTATCAAGCTTAATCATATTTTCTTACCTTCTGCTTTTCCATTTTCATCCATTTCATAAATTCGTTTTAAATTAAATTTTCTTTATTATTGATCTCTTATTTTATCTTTGTAATAATTCATTTCTTTTTGATATTGCTGTATCAATCATTCACAAGCGAAACTCGTATGTGGAGAAGCCTTGAGTTTCATAGAGATTCACTGAATAATCTTTTGCTATTTTCTTTTTTTATACACTTTTTGAAGAAAAAAATTTCCATTCCACTCGTAGGCAATTTCATAAAAAAATTGGATTAATTTTACACCATTCATACAACTATACAAGAAATGCAACTGATCGAAGCAGATCGATGTGTTCACATTTATCTATTATACCGACATTAACAAAAATAAAAATATACTGAATGCAATTTAAAATTCGGAAGGATTTCTTGACGAATGAATTTCACTCGAATAATTCGTTCGTTTTGCGAGAGAGTTTAAACAAGAATTGACTTGAAAAACTGTGAAATGAAAACTCTGTGTTGCTCTTATAACGAAGCAATGATGATTTTCTTTTTCTTAATAGAAAAGACGATCACAGACATATTTTTATAATTCGATTCGATTCGAACATACAGAAACAACGGACGAGAATTGACTGACGCGTTTTTTCTTTTAAATATTTTTAAACTAAAGTTTACACAATATTTTCACAAATGGTCGTTATGTCTTCGTAGCAAGCCCTACTATTTACTTACTAGGTAGCTTTCCTTGAGTAAATGGAAAATATTTTTGTTTTAGAAAACTGCAATTATGTGGCTTTGACATATCGATGGCAAAACTTTTAAAATCAGGAGTACTGTAAAAAGTCTTCTTCTAAATTTATTAATTCAAGCATATTAAATTTATTATCAATTCTTTTATTTGTCATGAAATAAATAATTCGTATTCAACACTGTTTACAAAAAATAATAAAATTTTCATACATTTCTATTGAAGTTAACTGAAATTTCCCAATCGGTTTAAGTTTTGAATATTTCATTCGTATCGGTTTTGTTTACAAAAATATCGAAATTTTGAAATTATCTCAGAAATTCTAAATTATAAATAAGTTAATAATATTTAAATAAAAATTTATGATCAAGTAAAATGTCTCTCTATAAATCAAGGTAAATCTTTAGTTAAGAGTAAACATTTTGTGAATTCATTGAAATAGGTAATTTTGTTGTTTCGCATAGGCTAAAAGAAATTGAAAATATTCTGGGTGAAAAGGATATTGACAAGAAAGCATTATGCAGTTTCATTCATAATGGTATACCTGAGTGTAAGAAATACAGGCCGATATGTTGGAAGATTTTGTTTAATTATTTGCCACTCCAAAAAAATCGTTGGGAACATCACCTTTTAAGACAAAGAAACAATTACAAGAATCTCATTATGGAGTTTGTAATTCCTCCGGGAATTAAAGATGTTGATTTATCTGTTGATCATCCTTTAAGTGATGGCCCTGATTCTACATGGAGCACTTTCTTCAAGGAAAATGAGACTTTTCTTCTTCAAATAGATCGAGATGTTCGAAGACTTCTTCCCGATATTTCATTTTTCCAAGAGCCAACGAAGTTTCCTTGTGAAATAGTTGTAAACAGTGATAGTGATATACGCCTCCATTCTAGGTTTGTAGTTTAAATCAAATATAAATTCAAAACATATTAAAATGCATTGATTAAATATTGCAATAGGGTTGCCCCAAAACAACTTAGTTATGCAAATGTTGAACGAAAGGGACTTGGAATAACAAAGGTAATTAAATATAGCATTAAGTAAATATGAGAAGAGATTTTCTCTATATTTTTTTTTATTTCGTTAATTAACTTTTTTTTAAATGGAAGCATGAGTAAATCTAGAGAAAATCTCTAAACTATCTTCATAACATTTTAATACCAAGTAGAACAAAGGGATTTAATGAAATTGCTTTTCTTTCTCTATCCAAAAATCACATAAATAATCACATATAAAAATAAAACTAATATTTTTTGTATTTTTTAATGCTTTCCAAATAAATAACAAATTTTTACAGCAAGTGAGTAAGGAAATTTACTCAATGCATAATTTTTTAAAATCATCTTGTAATTAATTTTTTGTTCGATGTTTCCAGATAAATCTCATATTGAAACGTGCAGCTGAGAGTTACAGTGCTATGGAGAAAGGAAAGGAAGCAAACTGGGAAGTCGTTGAGAGAATTCTTTTCATTTATGCAAAATTAAATCCAGGTCAAGGTTACGTTCAAGGAATGAATGAAATTATCGGTCCAATATATTATGTATTTGCTTCCAACGAAGACCATGCAGAATATGCGGAAGCTGATTGCTTTTGGTGTTTTACAGCTTTGATGAGTGAAATACGAGATTTTTTTATAAAATCCTTAGACGAGTCCGAAAATGGGATCAGGGGAATGATGAACAAATTGTCGAAACTTTTAGAAGAAAAAGACATTCATGTTTACAAAAGACTTCAGGAACAGGGCATTTTTCCCCAGTATTACAGTTTTCGATGGCTCACCTTACTTTTAAGTCAGGAATTTCCTTTGCCTGATGTACTGAGATTGTGGGACTCAATTCTAGCTGATGAAAATAGATTCGAATATCTCATATACATATGCTGTGCTATGATAATCATTATTCGTGATCAACTACTTGAAAATGATTTCGAGCATAATGTCAAAATACTTCAAAACTTTCCTTCTATAGATGTAAATTTTGTGCTACAACGTGCAATCCAATTACGAGAATCATAGCAAGTTGCTTTTCTCGATAATCAGCGGTTTCACAAAAATTTAAATTCTTAGAAGAGAAACGTTAATTTTCGTTTAACACAAAAGTCTTAATGATTTACAAGAATATCATAACGTTATCGTGACTCAGCCTTGTCAACAACACAATCAACTGAGGCGTAAAATATTAATTAAATGAGCTCTTTGTATTTCTAAGTAGAATGATTTAATTGAAAACTCTTGAGAAACTTTTTATATTAATTTTTCTATGATAAATATCTCGCTATTACCAACATAATAGAATACCGAAAACTTTATTTTCTTTTGAAATTCAGTTTATTACTTAACTACAAAATATTCAAAGTCAAAAGATTAAACTCAAACCTTATAAAAGTCAAAAAATCAAAACTCTATTTTTCAGAATGATTTGAATGAAGTGGAATGAAAACTCGACAAACCTGAAGAAAACATAAATTTTACACACATTTTTGACAGCAGTACAAAAGTTTAAGCTGCTTTCTCAGTACTTAGTTCAATTATCCTTCGTTTCTAGTTTTAAACGAAACATGCTTGGATGATAAACGAGAAACAATTAATTAAACTTATACATGTAAAAAACAAAACGAATTAATTTCTAATATTTACCAATAAAACAATTTTAAAACTCAGTTCACAAATCGACTTTAATATGACTTTTATCATTTATTTTAGATGGTTTTCTTTTGTTTCGAATTATTTTAATGAAGGCTTCCATGACGATCCCAAAGATTATTATAATAAAGCTTTTGAATTTTATATTATGTTTATTTCTTTTTTATATAGATATTTAAATATCTATTGCTGTAAGTGAACTCTGTAAAACAAAAGATTTTCCATAATTTTTTTAATCTTTTTATTCGTTTTCTCTCCCTTCGTTTTCTGCTTGACATCGTCAAGTTTATTCTTATCCATATTTTATGAAAATCAATAAATATTTCTGTATAGATATTTTGTGTAAGATGTAGAAGTCCAGAGCGTGTTAAATTTCATCATAGAAATACCATTGAATATAGAAAATACAAATGATAATAAATTTGAATAGTTAATTTATATTAAAATATTTCTTTATCTCAGATAACAAAAGATTTTGAATCCAACAGCTCAGTTTTAAAGTCTTGTGGCATGACAACAATAATAGATACAGAAGTTGTTCTTATCCGTTTTAATCCGTTCATTCATGAAAGATATTTTTATCTTCCAAGCTTAACAGATTATGTCGACCTTGTTATTGATAAACACGTACGCATCTTCAATATATTTCTACTTTTTATGATTGACTACTGTCACATCTATACATGATGAAAATCATTTTATTATGAAAATAACATTTGATTATTTATTTGACTGTAACACTGAACTAAATGGATAATCCCTAATTCCATAAAAAATATTTCATAAACATGATTTTAGTAAAAATAAATATTCTGTAAAACTTTTAATTCATTGGAGGCTCGAACATCGAGTATTACTAAAATGAAGTTCTTATCAAAAAAATTTTATTATTCAATATTTCATTTGAATTTCACATCTTTCAAATCCAAGGACACTTTAGCGCTTGCAATAATTCAGAAGCATAGGCAAGAATTAAAAATGATAATCAATAATCTTTATGTCATTTTTGATTAATAACATCATTTTTAGATTCATCAAAGTTAATCATAGCAACATAAATTTGAATCAGAGCTGTTTGAAAATTTATTTTTGAGATTCTAATCTATTCCAGTTAAGAATCTTAGTTTTTCTTCAAATTTCAATCAACTTAATGGAAACTTTTCTTTAACCTAAGGAACCGTTTTTCCCTTTTTCATCAAAAAAATAAATCTACACCATTTTTTTAAGATCTTGATTAGATATTTGTCATGTTGATGACACGCGCAATGTAAAAAGATTTAAAGGAAACATGTTAAAATTGTAAAAAAAGGCATAAAATAAAAAATCATATTCCAACTACGTGATGGGAAGTTAAAGTGAAATTGGTCATGCTTTGTTATCATTTGTTAGACTCTTGAAAACTTTTACTATTTATTTCGTTTGCTACGTTATCAAATTAATTTTTGCTGTGCATTTAAAACGAAATTGGATATGTAACTTTTAACAACTTTAGTTGGATGCATTAGTATTCAAAGGATTCTGCAATTTCAAATAAATGAGTTTATGAATAGAGATCAGAGCAATTGACTATCATAATTGAATAAAATGTTTATCAAAGCATTATTGATTGCTATTTTTTTCTATTTTATAGAATCTAGAATATTTAATGCGCTATTTAAATCGATAAAATGCTCAGTCCCACATCAAGAAGGTGCCAGACAGTATAAAGTTTTTCTCAATATGGAGAGGCTTTAAAGCTATCAATTATTTTCACTAAGGTTTTCGATATTGAATTTCAATTGCGAAAGTAATCAATGCAAAAATATGACCTATCATTACTAAATAAAAAGCTCCTTGAAGCATTCTTAAGTTGAGAGCTGTTTGTTCTTTTTCATCCGCTGTTTTCGCTTTGCTGCCCATGCTATCTTCACCATTCATTTTTCCTTCAATTTTTCCATTTTCTTGGTCGGCATTTTTCTTTTCTCCTCCACTTAGATCCATCGGCATGCTTTGATACATTTTTTTATATTCATCGTTTGTTATTTTATCAAGAATTCCGCCTTCAAAAAGTTTCATCAAACTGCTCAAAAAGAAAAGAAAGGAAAACTATAGCAACAAATCTTAGCTCATTCCAAAAAATTTTCATTACTTTTCATTCAAGCTGTCCAGAAATAAGCATCCCTTTTGTAAAGATATTGCAGAATATCTTGTGAAAAGTTTTTCCGACAGTTGGAAGTTTTTGATTCCAAACCGTTTCATGTTAAAGAGAAGCGTTTGGCGTCCGGCAAACACAACAGTGCTATCTTTATTTAACAACACTTGAACCCCTTCCTCAACTGAGTTCAGAAGATAAGTTGAATTGCTTCCTTGATGTACCATTCTATTGTACAATCGATTCATAATTCCAATACCATTTTTAAGAATGTTGTGTGAAGCCGAATTTGTTTCGACTAAAAGCTTATAACTTTCACTTTTATTCAAAACATGTTCCAATCTTTGCAGAGTATTGATTGGCAGTTCTTTGGATGGTCGCGCTAATTGAGATGTGAGTTGTGCCGAATATAAATCGCTCAAGACATAAGTGGATGAAAGCCATAGAATTATTGAAAATAATCGAACTGAATTATTGTCATAAGGAAAATTAGCTGCTGGAAAAAGGAATTGTTCATTAAAGAAATTTCTGTTACGTGAGATGATTACGAACGTTGTCGAAGAAAAATGTGACATGTAAACCATACACAGAGGCTTAGCAATCCATCTTGTTCCAATATTCTTGCATGTTTTTTACGCTTCCCATCGATTTTCATGGAAAATATCTCTCGAGTATAAATCATTTTGCCATATGAATTTGAATATTTTTGTTTCTTCTTTCTCTTCTTGAGCTTTTCTAAAATTACAACCATAAAATATAAAATAGGACCAACAATAACAACAGTAAAGACAAGTGGGGGCCAAACGCTTGCATCAAAGGGATAAACTAATGCAAATGCTTCGCTGATCCTCCGGGGCGCGTGAGTTAAAAATGCCCCAGAATCGGGGAGTGTTAAGAATGAAAATTCGATTTCCTGCAATTTTTCGCTAGTTATTACAGTATCGCCAAACAAAAGATCAGCTTCCTAAATGGAAAATAAAAAATGAGTATGAGTGACGTGTTTATTTTGTATCAGAAAACATATTTTTCATTACTCGATTCTGTAGCATTTTCAAACCGAGCTCGTGGGGTTGCGTAATATTATCTGAAGAAATTATTGACTTTACATCGATATATTTAAATTTAAAGTTCATTTTTTCTGATAGAATTTCTAGAAGTGAATGATCTCTGCCTGATATGTCAAGTGATATATCAGAATCATTTTGAGGCATCTGGAATTGGTCAATCAAATCATCGCCGCTTTCATTCAAGTTTTTGTACGAGATAAAAGTCCATGGGGGTCTCTAAAATCAACCCGAATAATGATTGATGGAGTGATTGATTTATTACGTGTCCCACAACTCACATGAATTATTGGCACAATGAAGACACGCTTGTTGAAGTTCTTATATATATTTTTCATATCTGGTAGGATTGGTTCAGCATTTAGTCCCAAATTGTTGCCATCAAACCAATTAACAAGTTTCATATTCCCATCATTTGCCGATGATGCTTGATTGTAGTAGATCCTATAAACGAATTTTCTCGGGTTCGTTATCATAACAGTTCGAAGTGGCTCTTGTAAGTTTAAGTGTTCATGATTTTTAGGTAGTTTTTTAACGTTCCAAAAAAACACGTATAGACTGAGACGATGTGCTAAATTCCGCGCATGAATCTGAAAGAAGAAAACTCAATTTCTTTTTATAAAAAATGTATTCTTAAAGATTACTTCTGGTATCAGAACTTTTGGATCGTGGAAAACCAATCCAGTTACTTCCAATGACCCTAACAGATTAGTTTCTATAAACTTAAAGAACTTTTCTTTCTCATTGAAAATACAAGTTTGTAGGCCACGTTTACTTAACTGCATAACTAATTCATTAACAAGAATTGAGTTTCTTGCATCCATATTGAAAATTGTTAAAGGGCCTGATAGTTTCAGCCCATGTGATATATCGGAAAGAGCTAGATAAATATAAGAATAAAGATGTAAGTAGGTAAATATTATTCTTCTGATATCTATTTAGTTATTGTAGAGAAAAGAAAGATTCTCCTTTTTCTATCGATTATTTATTTTTTTTTCTGCTCTTATGACAAAGTTTCTCACCTACAGTCGCATGGTGCGATGTGTTTTCACTATTATCATTCTGAAAAGAGATAACTGGTAAAGGAATTATTATTATTCCTAGAAAAAAATACTTTAGCATGACTTCTGTGAAAACAAAATGTGTATGAGTGTTTACTGTCTGTAGGTTTGTCTTGAATTGAACGGTTTCTAGCAAATTTTTTCTCTTCCTAAAAATAACTTCCCATGTTGAAAGCTTAATTGTTAAAAATGTTAAGGTTGTAAAAGCTGCCTATCAATTCTGCTTGTTAAAAATAAAAGGCTGTTTCAATCAAAACTTATAATTACAGAATAAATTTTGTTGTTGCTAACTAAGGAAACTTTTGAAGGTTTCGTATATAATTAATTCACAACAATTTTCTTATGATAACTTTTCTGTTGGTTTTTTTAAATTTCCTTAAGTTACAATTATGAATTTAAATCACATATTCGAAAACAAACAAACATTTAGCATTTAATTTAGAATGTAGACACATACTCACCTTTTTATTCTAATTTTACTTCTTTTACTGAACTTAAAATTAGGAAGTTTCAACCAAATGTCATAAATCTTTTTCTTAAATCACTGGTGAATGAATAATTAAAGACTTTTGTCCCGAGTTTTCTTTTCTTGAAATAATGAATTTTGGAATTCCTTATTTCAGAACAAACAGCAATTTGACACTCGATTAAATACCCTTGCTCGTTAGTAATGTTTCGCAAAACGCATAACATTATTTGAAGAGATTAAGAGCTTTGAGGCGCTTATCTCAACTAAAACAGACATTTATAAATAAAAGCTGCTTTATGTTTAGAACTCAAGCATATCAAATATGTATAAGTATGAATGCTTCATTATTGTTGTTATCTTTAATGCATGACAAAAGTTCACAATTAAATATCACTCATACATAATTAAAAATCTAATTATCTAATCTTACTGCGCTTCACTAGTTTGTTATTTTCTTTTGTCTTATTATTAATTAAAACTTTAAAGCAATAAATAATTAAAGATCCACTTCACAATTTTATCGATGAATTGATTTTTTCATACAATATCTAGTTGGTAATTTTAATGAAACGTGTTGTAAGTTTATTGAGATTTTGCAACGATTTCAAACTGTTGTCCCAAAATTATATGAAAACTTCATTAAAATTCGTTTAAACAAAATTAAAAAAGTACAAAATAAGTTAATGACAATAAACGAGAACCCAATTAAAATTAATAGAAGTCGAGTCGTCAATTCATTAAAACACAATTTAAATACTTTGAAATATTAACTTTCCTAAAATTTTCCACTTCCTGCCCAAAACGCTTGATTTATTCTTTTATGTTTAATCCATCAAGGAAAACTTTTTCGATAGATGATTTTTAAGAGCTAAAGTGTGTTTTTATTCATAGGAAAAATGATTGTCTTCTGTTGTACTAAAGACCTTTTTTTCTTTTTTTGTTAAAACAGCAGATCTTGACGATTCAAAAATGGGAGGAAATAAATTTTATATAAGTGAAATTCTCTTGGTAAATTAAGTGGAAAAATATCTTTACTTACATAATCATTTATTCATTCAATCATTCATCAAAAATTGAAACAATATTCATGTCATTCTGTATCTCAAATTTTTTAATGCTCATGTGAAACATACTTCAATATTTTAAGCAGATATTAGAAAAATATTTTATTCATGAGGTAAAAATGAAACAATGAAAACTGATAGAAAGGTATTGTGTGGGCACATATATTACTGTCTTTAATGTTTTTTTATGTCAATTATGATATATTTACATAGAAGGATAAATAATGGATTTTTTTGAACTTTCTTTTATTTCTTAAGTAGAAAAAAAAGTTGGCAGTTTAATTTTCTCAATCAGCGTTGCTTACATGTATGATGAAAGAAATATTCTTTATGAAGTGTGCATTAATATTTATGTTTTTATAATTGTATAAAAAAAGGTTTCAAAAACAAATATTTCTACTAACGTTGAGGTTTATTTTCAATCACTCCACTTCAGAAATGAAGCATGTTTGTATCTGTTTTGGATTAGATGTGAATTTGTATCATGTTATGAACTTTTAGTGTTATTTGTCTTATTTTGAGTTGTGAAACCGCAAACAAATTTTTGGATATCCCATATAATTGTTTGATGGTATCTAATTTCATCGTAATCTGAATAAGATTGATTATGCCATACATACATATGAGTCTAAAAAAACCAAACGTGATACTGTTGAATGGGCATCAAACTGGACACCTGCTGTAAAAAATAAAATACTTTGCTCCCAAATAAAGTGAACTTTTTAATTATGCACCTTCCAGCATGATCATAAAAATTATCAAGAGAGTTACATAATTGCCTATCACAAAAGAGACATACATAAATTTACATAGCATAAGCCAGATTCATTTTGGAGAGATGGAATATAAAAAAATCTAATAAAACATCAACCTTATTTTTTATTCTTTCATTTTGCATTTCAATTTCAAATGATTCCATTATATTCTTCCTCTGAAGAATCGTATGAAGTTGTAGCTTTACAAATGTACGGAAATTATGCACTCGACTAAGGCTTTAAGCAAATCTTTCCATTTCACATCGCATGCATTTGAATAAGTACTTACATTTGTACAGTATTGTATTCATGTAGATAATGTTTTATGATCAGATATGAATAGTCATTTTTACTCTTACTCGATGGGATAAAAGGCAAAACAAATTCACAACAGATAACAGATTATTTCTATTTTTATTCAAATTTCCTATGAAAACTCAAGTTGTATTATTTTCTATGGTCCTTGAACAGCTTTGTTTTTAAAATTATTTATTTCATTCAAATAAATAAAAAGAAATTTTTCAAGCGATGTTTTTTAATTCGAACCTCCAAGCAAACCAAAATATCATTAAAATGTTTAGGATTAATAATCGAATTTTGCAAACTGCTAAATTTCCATAAGTACATTTTATAATGAATGTATATGCAGTGTTGATAAAAATACTTATCTGAAAAGATAAACAAAACCTTTATAAATGTGACCTGGCCTTATACAAATTTATAAAATTCATTAACCTTTTACACAAGTGGACTTAAACTTTTTTGCAGTCACTCACATTTTTCTTAATATTTACTTATGTTACCTACATATAATAATTATATGGATCCACTTTTGAACATTAAAACCTTTTTTAGGGGGGAAAGGAAAATTTACGTTGTCAGTAAACTTCTTTCTTGCTAATATACCAAACTATTAAAATGTATTATTATACCCTTCAAGCTTAGATAATAATCTAATAACTCAGGGCAAACTTTGTTGTTCAGTTATTATCTTCTTAGAAATCTGCTTGGCGTTATAAATTTTAACAGTCGTTAAACGAGGTAAAACTTTCCATAAATAATGTAAGCACAAACAAATTGTCGTCTTGTATGAAAGGATATATTTGCAGAAAAAAGGCCCAATGTAATTAAGGAACAACGCTTTGATTGAAATAACTTGTCAAAAGCGTTGACAAAGCAAGAACATCCAGCATTCCAATGATAACAGATGAAGCAGATGAAACAGTGAAACATGGAACGAAAATATCATCATTCAGCAATTTTTGAACAATTTCAAATTTCATATTGGAAAATCCAATGGAAGGTTTTCCAATTTCCTGCCACAATGATGTTCGCTTCGTACAATTTTCTGTTTTTGTTCCTTATCATGAAAAATTCTTCTTTCAGTGTTCTCTTACGTGCGGTGATGACAGGAAATACATTTTTTCCATAGCAAATTCTTTGTGATTAGAAACATAATGTGACAAATACAAAAAAGGATACATTTGTTATGAAGATATATTTTGTCGTGAATTAATTAACTTAATAAATTCGGGTTGGTTATGTGCTAAAATAATTATCAAAAAATCAAAGAGTGGAAACAAAAAATAAAAATCAAGAAATCCTAAACACGTTTAAACATAAGTCAACGTACAAATTATAATTTAGATAATTTTTAATAAAAACTCGTCTTGTAAACATCCATTTCCTCTTGTACGGTATTCATCTGGAAACGAAAAGATTGATTGTCGTTAATCATTGACATTTGCTTCTTTTTTTTCGTTATCAAGCGAGCGTGAAACATCCTCTATTTCAATTTTCAAAAACACATTTAAAGATGAATCATACGAAGAGATTCCGCTTTAATTTCAGTCTTTAAATATTACCCTAAAGCATAACAAGATTTAATAAAATTTTACCCACGATTAATATGAGGCGTGTATAAAATTGAATTATTCTTATTATAAAAGTTATGTGGTGTATCTTAAAATAAATTTGAATTTGGTTTGCTTGACGAGGAACAAGTTAAAAATGTGAAGAAGTCATGTAACCATTAAACCACACAAACATTTCCTTTAACATCATTCTCTAGATCTGAACAGAATTTACTTGAACAATGTCATCATACCCATTAAATAGTCACATATACATATATATGTGAAACATAAAACATAACTTAACTCAGCGACGTATACGATATGTTTCAAAGGAGACAATGAAATGTTATCAATCTTCAAATAATACAATACTTTTTATGTTTATCATTAGGAAATCAGCCAAATTTAGCTTGTAAAAACATGTAAAAATATGGCAGAAAAAAGATAATAAATATATGTTATGAGAATTTTTCATGTCAGTGTTATCCAAGGGCTTCTTCGTAGCATGTTTGATTGGACAGACAAATATGGATAACCGTAAAATAAAGTGAAACATACATAATTTAGGAATGTTTGTGTATAATTGATGTCATATCTTGCTACTAAAAAAGAATCATCAATCGCTTCGTGGTGATAAACGAAAAACGTGTGGACGAGAAATTGTGAAAATCATGAAGAATTAAACTGAACAAAGGATTAAAGTGAGAAAACAGTATAAAGAATTTAATTAAATATAGATCGTGAAAACTTTATTGACTCGAATAATGACTTAGACTGTTTTACCAAATTCAAACTTGCTATTGGATTCTTAAGTGACAATGACAAGACGGTTATAAGCTTTCCCCAAAAGATTTAGATATCGATGCAGTTGTAATAAAAAAATAAAAGGTTAATAGAATCATAAAAAAATAAAAATAAATTACATTATGTTTATACTTTTATGGTTGATTTTTGATGTTCAGTACGGAAATGACCTTGAAATTCGTGAAATGGTCATAATATATTCTTGTGCAAATGTTTATCTAAATGGATATATCACCTTGGTTTCGGTACCTTTTTTAAAATGAAAAGTTATTTTAGGACAACTTTCTTATACACTTTCCAGTACAACCTTAAAAAAGATTAAAAAAATCAAGCAGATACTTAACAACTTTTATATAATTTTATGTACTTTATTTGTGACGTTTTTTGCAACAACTTTAGTGTGAATTTATTTCTGCAATTAAGTTGTTTTGCGATAATAAAAAATGTACGTAGGCTTAACATATGAGTTGTCATGTATTAAAGCTTGGAAATTTTGAATATTTTCTACATGATTCAATATATGCTTCGATACAAGCTTTAGAAATATTCATTTTAATAAAATTATTTATACTGAGAATACTCTTGAGAGCGTTTCGACATTTTTAAAGGCTTCATTTCTTACTTCTTCATTTCGCATTTCTTTTTTTCTGCTTTTAATAGACATCAGTTATTCATCTATCTATAGAAAAGCAAAATTTGTCTGTTTTCGATCTTTAATATGTGACCTTAAATTTGATAAACATTTTTGACGAATTGTTTATTTATGATATATTTTTGGTTCCGATAAGACTAAATTGTCACTAAGAAGTTTTATTAGCAAACTGTCAATACGATTGATTATTGTCATTATAGAATGTTTACCTCATAATAATGAATAATGACTCATCATTAGAAAATATGAGAAGCCCATACACCGGAAGATGAGAAAGGCGTGACTGAGCTTATGACATTCAGTTTTGATTTGTCTATTAATAGAAAAATTAGCATTAACTCTAACTTCAAAGCAACTATAATATAGAAAATGCAAAATATGAATGACTTTCTATAGACTGAAAAGCTGGAGATTCAGAAAATTCGTTTACGACAATATTTCAAAATTTAACATCTCCATCGATTGATATCTTTCTCAGTTCTTTAATTTTTCAAAGTCTTATTTATTGTATTCATCTGACCTGTCAAACGCACTTGTCTTCAGCTATTTCCTCATGAATGGTTTCGAAAAGAAGATATTGAGTCAAGTATTACTTGGCTTAGATGCTTCGCAATATGATGGATGTTTTGATTGATTCAATGAAAAAGAAATCAAAGTTCACCATAATATTTGTATTGAATAATTTTCATATCTCTATTTGTATATTTTGATTTAATGTTTATGAATGTATGCATATAGTTGTATATTACAGTTTCTTATTCTTTTATATTAAAGTTCGGTACTAAACTGTTTGTATCTGCATTGAAATATTAATGATATGTAAATCTGATAAATCGTGAACATATTTTCAAAAAGTTTTAAAGTGCTCTTCCAAAGCTTGAAAAATCTTCAATTAATCAACAGATCAATTTTTATTTTTACTTGAGCGACGAATAAAGAAACATAAAACTTTTAAAGCTGCTTTCAATTTATTTTGGCAATCTCGTCATTTTTCTCGCAAGTTATTTATATTTTCATATTATGAGTGAAGCTGGGAATTTACATTTTTTAAAAATAAATCCAATTCAGTGCATTTTGAAGCTTAATCTTTATATCTTAATGTTCAACATATTAGACGTTCTGAATAAACACAACAAGTGTTTTAACAGTCATAAAAACTTGGAAAAGCATTAAGTAGGAGGAAAATAAGAATGCTGTGTAAGGAAGCAAAAATTTTATCTTTAAATAGTTTTGAGATTCTTCTGATCTCTCTTTAACTCGATAATATCTGAATATATATTTAAAAACTTACTTATGTATTTACTTAAATATTCCTTAGATACCCAAGTCTTTAAAAATAATATCATTGACGAGATTTAAGCAATCCGAGATAAAAGATATCCATCTACAGTAATTTATTTTTCCGGTTTTTCATTCATAATGTCGTTTTTTCCCTTCTGCTTAAATGATAACGCCAATAAAATTAAATTCAGCTGAGATTATTTTTGTGACTAAATTTTAGCTCTAGCGGGTGAACAGAGATTATGGAAAATAAATCTAAGCTGCGAATTATTTTGTCAAAATTTAGCATCAGCTGTAAGAACAGATTTCATGACCTTCTTTAGAGGGTGCTATTTTTTCCGTGAATCTGTAATGAAAAAGAGAATTTATAGTTTTCCCTTCATAGACATATTTTTTTCTCTTAAATACTTGAGTATTACGTGCTGGGCGAGAAAGCTATTCATCGTTGAAAGAGATAAGACTTTGTCGCACATTCCCTGAATTCATTCTAATGAGGTGATCTGCATTCAAAAAAGGTAAAAGAAGTATTTCTTAAGAGTCGAATTGGTGCTGAAATAACAGCTTACGTAAGGCATGTTCACGCGATTTGAAGATCGATATTCCTAAAATGAATATGAATACATACATCTACATAAATATGTCTACATATATATTCAGAATAAAATGTACGACTATGCGTTAGAAGAAAGGAATTGTCAAAACGCAATTTGCTTTAGGTTGAGAAAATGTGATTGTTTAAGCTTTTAAATATAAACAGAATTTTCTTCCATCAAACATTATTATGTACTTACAAACATATTTTCAAATAGACGTGTCAAGGGTATATGATGTGACGCCGATGTTAGCAAATATCTTTTTCTCTTTCCGATGTGAGAGCAAAAGCTCAAACAAAGCCTTTGTATAAATAACAAGGTTTTATCTTAAAAAATCATATGAAAAATCATACACTTCAAAAAATTTCTTTCCAATGCAACATACTTAACATGGATTGGATTACTTGACTGATTTGACAAAACCATATTTTGTTGGAAATTTGTTGTCAAGGTTCAATGTGAGAATTTTCTAATCCACACTTTTGTAATTTCAAGAAAAAAAGAATTCATTGTGTCAAGGAGATAAATTTGTTTTGCTTTTTGTCATATTTTCGACTTCTGAGTATTGAGTTTACTAATAGAATTCACAACCTGAATTAAAAATACCTTTTTCTTAATCAGTTATGACTTAGATAATTTGCTGACTGACCGAAAACTTTTCTACAAATTTAGTCAAACAATTTTCTACGTTGACGTAGAATTTTGCCTAATCCTTTAGCTCGTTGGCAATATCAAATATTTGTAAGTTATGTGCATATTTATACTTATACACATATATTGATCATTTCTTATTTGCATATTTACATAAATACATAAACAACATTTATGTATTCACGACATTAATGGAGGAATATTGAGTAGATATTAAACTTTTCAATTTTCATATTTGTCTAGTCTGAAAAGTTTTATTTAAATATAAATGCAAGTATCGATGCTTAAACTTTGTACAAGTTTAAATAGAAACAGAAATCTCTGAAGTAAAAGGAATAGAAACGCTTATTGACTAACATTGTGATATTATCAAATCTTCGACTCTTTTGAAAACGTTCACCAAACCAAATTTTTTAAAGACAAACGCGAATCAGCATTTCAGTTTGAGTCGAGCATACCCTTACGTTAAAAATTTCTTTTTCATGTAGAAAATGAAATATTGAAATGAAAAGTTTTTCTGTCAATAAAACATTTTAAGTGAAATGAAGCAAAATTAAAACTCGGATAAGCATTCAAGCAAAAGCTCATAGGATCAATCCGTTTGATTTAAATATATTTAGATGAATAAAGTAATCGCATTTAAATGTTATGGAACTTAAAATAACATTCCTCTTTAGATAAAACTATTTGATAAACATTTTCATGTTAGATATTTTGTTCTTGTCAGCAGACTCCAATTAATCTTATAAAAGTACTCCTAAGTTCTAATTTAGTCCAACACCTTAATAACTTTCTCAGAAAGAAGGCTTACATTATCTCAAATAGATAGAAATGATACAATTTTTCGTGCTGTTCAACAACTTTCTTCACTTCAGCTTTATTATAAGTTGAAGTTCTGGACTTAATGAGACCTGACACTAATACTTCCTACGGTCGGAATTACACGTACTGCGGTTGTTAGCAATAATGCGCTACTATAATCTGTTCAAGTGTAGAAAGGCAATTTTTATCTGACTGAACTTTTTTTCAAAAATCTTCCTTTTGCTTCACATAAATTGCAAACACATCGCAAAGAGATCTTTTCAAGTTTTGATAATTAATTCCGTTCTATTAACTTTTATTGCAGACCGCCATTGACAAAACTTAGGAAAATATTTCCAGCAAGCTGTGCATTTGAAATTTCAACAATTTATGTTAAATATCTGCTTTAATGGAATGTTGTCAAGATTCTGAAAGTTGTTTTAATTGCAAGTAACGTCAAATTTAATTGTGTGAGAAAGATTTTCCAACATTTGCTATTGTGTTGGATACTTAATTGAAATGTTTTCCATTCTTTCATTCACAGATGTAGGTCTGAAATCTGAAACATGAGCCTGTTCGCTTTGATAGCTAAGTCATATTTACCTATGGAATAAACGACAAAGTGTCATTTGATCAAGAGTTAGCCATGACTATTATGACATTAAACAATTATTCGTCACTCCAGGGGTCAGATGACGCAAAGCACGATGGTTGTGAAAAGCCGCAACAGGTCATGTACGAAAGTGTGTTTGGAATTTCTCTCGCAATGCCACAATGGGAAGCGATAGGAACTGCTGTTATATTGTCACTCATAATTGTGATCACCATTGTGGGAAACATTCTCGTAATCCTGTCAGTGTTTACATACAAACCCTTAAGAATTGTTCAGAACTTTTTCATCGTGTCACTTGCTGTCGCTGATTTAACTGTTGCAATTTTGGTTCTGCCATTTAATGTCGCCTATTCAATAAGGGGACGTTGGGATTTCGGCATTCATACGTGTAAAATGTGGTTGACAAGTGATGTTTTATGCTGCACAGCATCGATATTAAATTTATGTGCCATTGCTTTGGACAGATATTGGGCAATAACAGATCCAATAAACTACGCTCAAAAACGAACAGTGGAACGTGTGTTGATTCTCATATTAGGTGTTTGGGTGTTGTCTCTGGTTATTAGTTCACCACCTTTAATAGGTTGGAATGATTGGCCAGATCACTTTGATCCCGACACACCATGTCAGCTAACTTCAAATCAAGGCTACGTTATATATTCAAGTCTAGGATCTTTTTTTATTCCACTTATCATCATGACTATTGTATACATCGAGATATATGTTGCAACACGTAGAAGATTAAGAGAACGCGCAAAGGCATCTAAAATCAATGCAATGACTTTAAAAAGTGCTACGACTATTCAAGTTGTTGATCCAACCACAAATAATTCTGGTTCTGGTGAACGCGAACGTGAATCAATAAGTAGTGAGCTCAATCACAACGACCTACCGGGAGCTTCCGATGGAAGCCTTACTTCGAAAGACATTAAGCGGAAGAAAAAGAAAGATAAAAAGAAAATGACAAAAGATTCTATCAAGGATCTCAAAGACAAACAGAACATTCATTTACCCATTTCCGATGAGAATTCTGTTACTGATGTTCACGAGCATGAGCATGAGCATAACAACAAGAAAGAAAACGATACCGAAATAGAAAATTCTGTGATTGATATAGATAAAAATAAAATTAAGTTAAAAAAAAATCCTAATAATAATAACAATAGTTTAGCGTGCAACAAAAAATGCGGCGCTGTGTATCAGTTTATAGAAGAAAAACAGAAAATATCTTTAAGTAAAGAAAGACGAGCGGCTCGAACGCTAGGAATTATTATGGGTGAGTTATTGTTATAAGTTTATGATGAAATTTCTATCAACGTTGAATCGAAGATTTTCTACAGCGAAAATATGTTTGGCTAAAATCTATTTCTGAATATTTTTTTAAAGGAAACTTCGAATTTATGAAATATCTAGATAATAAGAAATGCTTACAAAATCCTAAGAGGACGATGAAAAATTCTATCTACACAACATCATTTAAAATTTTCTTGTAGATATATTTTATTGACACTCAATATATAAAATAAGCTTTTTAATAGCAATGACTTTCGAATTTCATTTATACCGACCATTTATTAAATCTAATTTTATAAATTGTGGTTCAATGCAACAGCTTGTAACAGTGTAAAAAATAAAACTTTATCACGTTTTCTTTCATTCTAATTAAGTATTCTAAGAAGAAAAGCTTTTAAAGGATTTTTCAAACTGGTTTTTTATACAAATGACTTATAATTTATAACATCTCTTATTTGGATGTGTAATAATTCACATGAATGATGATGGCGTTTTCAAATTTTGATTTTTTTTTATTAATCGATGATATTCGAAGGCAAGTCACGCACAACCATCAAATCATTTTATTTTGATTTTCTCATATATTGTCATAAATCTGAAGGTGAAAAACGTTTGACGTATTAGCAGGCCTCTTTCATGGTAGATTCATGATAGCTTAAAGTCAATTTTTTTTCTGTTTATTACCAACATACTTGCCTACATATATGCTATCAAAGAGTGTCAATGTTTAGGTATTTTTTTAAGGACTTTAAATAATTTCATGCATTATATTGAATACACTAACTGAGATAGACTTGATTGCAAACAATTTTAATTATCTCACGATTCGAAATTTCTTTGATGACTCTTTTTATCAAAAAATTTGATTCCTATTTTATGCTTCGACTCCTTTTTCATTCAAATCTTCTTTTTTTTCAGGTGTTTTTGTAGTTTGTTGGCTCCCATTTTTCCTCA